GTTGACATACTAACAGATGTTGTAAGTATATTGACATACATAAATAAAAAGATACAGAATTGCAAGACCCTGTAATGTGACTACTTTCGATGAAGAAATACGTTCAAACGAATTAAAGGGCAATAAATACATTCTTACATTTTTCTATAGAGTAAGTTGAGGTAATTCTCAGTAGCCTCTCTAATTTTCATAGTATTTTGAGCGTACTTAAAGTATTTTTATTCGGGAAAAAAAATTTATATACGAAGATTTTTGTGGTTTGCAGAGGGTTTTTTGTCAGTAGCTGTAAACACACATTTCAGGATCTGTAAACATCATTTCAGTAGCTGTATACTTTCGGGATGAAATTTTGATTGATCAAATTTCAATATAAATTTGGTGTTTACAGCTACTGGATGGACTAGTAATAGACAGTGTATCTGATGTTTTTAGACACAAGTTTTAATTACTACGATATATTATAACATGTTCTATGTTATTGTCCAACAGTTCAGTAGGAAGTTTTCACATTTTTGCTTCGTAGAAGCAACGTTGACAAGTTTTTTACCTTAATTTTCACGACTATTGCAATAGCTCTAATACCACTAGAATTTCTTCGTTGCTATACTCATTTTTGACACATTTTAAGTCATACCTTCTTTTCTTCTAGTTGATACAAATGAAAAGTATACAATTAATTAGAATTAAATAATTACCTCAAATGCGGTAATTATGGACATTTGATAGGAGCTCTCTAGAAATTGATGAGTACTAATTAATCTTATTGAACTTTAACAACATTTTGACATTGGTAGATAGAGAAATGTCTGGTCTATCCACCTGTGAAGTGTCGTTTTTTCCCGAATAAAAATACTTTAAGTACGCTCAAAATACTATGAAAATTAGAGAGGCTGTCCAGAATTACATCAACTTGCTCTAGTTCTCGATCTAACCACATGTATAGCTAGCTCATTTGGATGTCTATCTCTGTCTAAGCGTTCTTTTAGCAGTTCTTCATAATTTGTTCAAATAACTATTTAAAAAGGTAAATAGTATACATTTGTTCCCTAGCATCATAATATTTTTGTGTTTTCTTTGTTTTCGCAGTGGAACACTTGTTAGTTTTAAATAAAAGAACCTTGTAGACCTTACACTAAACATTGAAAATTTATGATTATCTCAGACTATACGTCAACAAATATAAACTTACCTAGAATAGAATATTTATAACAGTACGTGAACTCTTTAACTATTTATTAATCGTCCTTACGTCATAAAATTATTTTTCTTAGGTCATGCATAAAATCATACCATCAGGGACAAAGATGCGTCAAAAAATGCGCAATAAGTTTGTTGAAACTGTAGAGTAAACGAAAATTCCCTTACGCATTTAAAGGCGTATCATGATTCTTTTTTTACTGTTTCAAAAAGAAAAACCTGTTGTAGAACAGCAGCATCTGCTAGATGACGACAGTAGACCTCCCCCTCCTCCAAAAAAAAAATAATAACGAAAGAATTACTATGCCAGAGAATCTAAATACTGTTTTTTCTGTATATTTACCGGAAGAGGAATGGGACAACAGACCAATTTTTTTTCTTGTTCTTAGAAAACAATTTTTTCTACTGTCAATAAGAGTTTTTGTACTACGTTTATTTTTCTTTGCGTATATCTACACGAGGATAAATCTTGTTACGTAAAAGGAAAAAAAACGATATATTTTACAGAGATCGATAAAAGACGAAAAAATCATCAACGCCATTCATTCATTCATTCATTCAGATCTTTTTTTGTTTAAGGTCATCATACTTCACGCTACGTTCTGATGTCACACCCGCTGAACAAATCCAAATAGAAAAGTGACACATATAGTTTGATTCAGAAAATCGGTAGCATCTAACTAGAAAGTACATAATTTCGCCCAAAAAATAAATCATATAATTACGGGGGGGGCTGAATAAATGAGTCTCATCAAAAACAAACAAAATTGAATGTGGGTATAAAATAATACTTTGTTATGATTAAACAACGAGCAAAAATGAAATATAAGAACATTTTTTGATGGAAAAAGAGCAATACTTTTAAACTAACGATAAGTGTATCTATAGTAAGAAACGTGTTACAAGACAGATGCTATCAATCATTATTTAAATACAAATGGAAAACGAAAGCTTGTTTTAGCAAATTCTATTTCTCAAAAATTTTGTTTTTTACTTCGTCTTTCGTTCTCTCTTCCATCATTTACGACTTATAAGTAGAGATTTGTTTGTCCCTGCCTGTCCGTAGCTGTGTGAAAAAAATATTTTTTCTCTCTGATCTTTTCCTCTGTAGCTCCGACTTTCTGATTTTATTTCTCGTAAAGAATAAAAATATTTATTATTGAAAAATTAGAGTTTCAATTAGGAGTTAAAATTTTTTCAAGTACCCTATATTTTCTGCTAAAGATCGCGGATTCTGCCATATAAAATTTAATAGTTATCTGTGTTAGCTGTGAAATTCTTTTGTGAATTTAAAGAACAAATATTTTCACAGACATCGTGATAAAAAATGTTTTTTCACATAAAAACTAAGGAAAAATATGCCACTGTCCACTGCAAAAAACTTTTCAAAATCCTGCATGATCAAGCGAGCGAGTAATCACGGTTATATCACACATGTTTTTTTTCCACGTTTGATCATGTAGGATTTTTCTACGCACGGAATAAATCACAACAACGTTTGGAATTTCTACCCTTACAACGCGTGACTCTCATCACATGTAAAAAATGTTTTTCCACACCGAATCACGCATTATTTTCTAGAAAAATTTTTAGTGAATGGACACTTTTTTCAAAAAAAATGTCAGTGTTTTAGTCGTATTTTTCAATAACAATCAACGATTTTAAGTTGATTTTTTTAAACATATGTATAACGTCTGCAGGCTAAGAAAGGGTAAACGTTTCCAAACCTATTGATTTTGGATGAGTTACTAGTATTAATGAACATATAAAATTCTATTTTTTCGGATTTCAAAGATTATTCCATCCAACTCTAACCGGTTAAGCTTAAGATTAATTTTGTTTGCCAACTTGTTGTCCTTTCTGTTGTCTATCTTTTAGCACTAGCGATGAGCGTTGACGGTAATTTATCGTTGGTAACGATAAAAGCGTTTTTTATCGAAGCCTACTGCAGTCAAATTTTCAAGTTTTTACCGTAAGTCGATAACGGTAATAAAATTATTTTTACCACTATTATTCTGAATTTTTGACGTTTTTGTATTTACGTTAGAACATGAAATCAAATGTGGTGAAATATTCAATGTTTCTCAAAGATAAATTGTGAAGTGAAGTAGCGGTAAATCGAAACTTTTGAATGTTTCTCATTGTAGTCATCGGTAACTTATCGTCGTAACAGTAAAAAAGCTTTTACCGAAGTTTACCGCGGTAAAAGTTTGAGATCTTTTACTAATTTGAAATTACCGCGGTAAAACTCGGATATTGTTATCAAAGCATCGGTAACGGTAACACGTTTTTATCGTTACCATTCATCCCTATTTAGCGCCAATTTCAACACTAGCCCTACAAGCTATTGAGAAAACTCATGTTTAATGTCATTGGACAGAAAAATTGTAAAATGTCTGTTAAGACAGTATTTTAAATATTCTAACAAGAAAATTTATATTAGCTTTAATCCTAAGCACATGTCTGAACAGATCGTAACGTCAGCTATAAACACACATAAAAATAAAAGAATATATTTGAACCCGTACACAAAAAAGTATTCGACTTCTTTCAACGGTTATCACATAAAATGATTTTTTCACGTAGTATTTCAGCTATATCACCGCAACAGCGCGTAGATCTCTACTTTTCAGATCCAATAACGCTTCTTCACTCTTCTAGTCATGAGAAAATGATTATGACGAAAATTTAATCCATTGCTAAGTTATGCGAACAAAACCACGTAAAACGGTCATTACTATAGCTAAAAAATAGAAACGAATCTGACTTATACTTTGAACATAAAATTTATTTTAATACTTCATCATCATTTTTTCTACCACTACATAATAAATTGACGAATGAAAGAATCAAACTATCCAAAAGTGACAATTTCAGAAAACATATCAACTTATTTTAATAAAAATAATAGAATAGTAAAGTGGATATAAATAAGCAAAGTAAACAAAAGATGAACAATTTCAAAATTACTTTTCTACTTTCATAAATTTATATTAATTTAAACCTATTTGTACGCTATTTAATTTTAATTACTAAAAGAGACTTTTACAAATTTTTATATGTATATATAAAAATATAGTGAAAACGAATCTTTCTATGGAAGTCGAAGATGTATATTTACGACTTCTAGAGAAATAATACAGTTGTTAGCATTCATAATGTACTATTCTTAACATGCACTTTGTCTTCCAAGGATTCCATAGTTTTATTTTAAAATAAACAAATAAGCTCATGATCCAGAAAAAAAAAATCTATACACAATAACAATACATTTGTTCAAAAATAATAATAATAATAATAAATACAATAAAATCCTGAAATAATACTTGTACCTGTTGAGTATCGAATTAAGTCAAAAATAAAATATGTCACACCGAAAAAATAAATAGATGAACACGAGGAAAGATGTACGAAGTGCATAATCACCGTTATATATAATAAAATAACACTTTATTCTTTTTGTTACGAACTGCTCAAATAGTAAATGTATATGTCGAAAAAAAAAGAAATAGGATGAGTAAAACAAAACAAACAAAAAAACTAAGAAACGCCACAAATATCTGCTTTCAAACTCATTAAACGTTTTCGATGAAAATAAAATAATACTTATCCAAAATAAGTTGAATTTCGTTATAGAAAGGAAGGACAAGACATGCAATGAGCATTGCATAATAAGGTTCTTGGCAGAAATTTTTTGTTCAGATTGAAAAATAATAAAAAAATAACAACGGAGAAAAGAGAAAGATATTTAAAAAAAAGAAAATGACTAGAATTCACGAGAAATATTTTTTAAAATAATCAATTTATAAACATATTCCACTGAATGGACAACGTTCTTTTTCCTGACTTGTTGTGCATATACAGTAGACTTGTGGTACGTGGATACTATCCCACATACCTGGACCACATAACAGACATATATCATGAAGAACACATGGAATACGAGGTAATAAACGAAATTTATACAATAAACTACGAGCCTATAATAAAAAGAAAAAATTTGTTATCTAATTATACGAATAAAATGAGTATTACATAAAACAGATATTAGATGAAGAGATATCTTACTTTATTACAACTTGGACACTAATAAACTTTTCGATTTATATTATAAATATTTACATACTTTTTTCAGTACAATGGCTCCATTCATATGCATGGCTAAACTATTAAAATGTAATAATGTATCATCAGTTCCTAAGTGCTGTTGGACAATATCATCGCCATAGACGGCCATTATTGAAATACATATGAATAAATGAAAATAATCCGTCTGAAAATGTGCCCAACATGATTCCCACATACGCAACGCTTCTAAAAACGAATAATAACAACAATAATAATAAATAAACAATGATTACTCTGTCTTTGTCACATACCAAGTTCAGGAAATTCACGTTTAAAACATAGCAAAATCCATCGATGAGAAAATAATAAATCTAACCCGTCCGATAGTTTTGTACAATGATAATAGAAATCAGGTAACATTAAATGAAGTAATTCACGCAAATATTTCTAGATAAAATGGAATACATAATATTATTATCGTAACGGCAAAGTATATGTAAGAACATACTAATTGTTTTTCCATGACATCATCTGTCGGTGTACTAATAAATATTGTTCTATTCATTAATCCAACAAAACACCAAAATGCATCTGATTCATTTTGAATAATAGCTAGTACAGGTGCCAATAAATCGGACATACCTTGATTATAACCCATTGTTGGACAATAACAAGCATAATTCATCAAAATATCTCTAGTAATATCAAGAGGCCCGTTTAACAGATATGCAAATACCACAGATTACACACATCCTACTTCATCACTTGTAAATTTGGATTTTTATCTCCTTTATAGTATGGATTCGAACGATCGGTTCTCACAACATCTTTTTCTATGATTTTCTCGACATCGTAAACAAATTGCAATTGATCAGACTCATTCACGGCTGAATCTCTACAAAAATATGATGAAATTCTTACATATTGAACGAAACAAAAAATGGATATTTTTGTACCTTTTTGCTCTAATTTTTTGATATTGTAAAAATTTTTGATGTCGAATTATTTCTCTTTGTTCATAAGTTGAATCGAACGGATACAAATGCAATAGAAATGGCCAAACATCACGAGATATCGAAGGATCAATACCTCCAAAAAAGATAGACTAAATACAAAAGCATCGATAGTTAAGGTAAAGAAAGAGTGTAAGTTCTTCTTGCTTTTCTTAGTTGATAATTATCTTGTATTTGTCCTTGTTTATTAAAATATGTTTTCCAAACATCGGCAGTTATCAAATGATAGCAACCTTCTTCCGGATGTAAATCAGTTAAATCGATTGTTGGTCGAATAACATTAAATTGATGACAATTTGTAAAACCAGCTTTTGTCTATAAAAGAGAACGTTTATGGTTTATATAACGATTATATATCTTTAATCGAGCTATTATTAATAAACAAATGAAATGTAAAACAACAGGACTTTAAGATCTTGAGTTCGATTACCGATCAGGACATACATTTTCTTTTTACTTGTTTTATCCATCAAGTTATTTTTCTTTCTCACCTTTGCAAAATTCAGTTCTAGTTTCTACTCGAGCTTTAATCAAAACAGTGGAATTCTACTCTTTGGTAAAAAACTGCAGTTTACTTTTTCCACTAACAATGGCTTCTCGAATTAATTAAACAGTTGAGAAGATGAGTGAATATTGAATTACCTTTTCGACCGCAAATATATTCCATTCATTAAATACTTGAGTTAATTTATCTAATCCACCCTGATGAAAATGCAACACTTTATATTGACTTTCACACGAGGCTATCACTAACTGGCCACTATTTGTTAATTCATCGCAATAAAATAAACGTAATGAACGCATTTGACCTAAATGGATAGAAGAATGGAAAAGATTGAATATTGGGAAGAATATTAGACAAACATACCCAAATCTACTGAGAATACTCCACAAAATTGTTCTGCAACTGTTTTCGGCTGTTCTATTCCATTTGACATTGGATTTTCACCCATCAATGATGTATTTTGTTTTTCATAGATGCCCGCTACATTTTTCCATGATGTTTCTTTAAGCATTGGTGGCTGCTGTTCATTTTCATCAATAATCAGAACATCATCGTCATTATCGTCGAGATCATTAGGCATGTCGATATCATTTTGTTCATCGGGACCTTCCGTCGCTCCCGATGTTATCGAGTCGCGTCTATCAGATCCATCACAGGCATCTTCGTAATGATCGTCAGAACCATTTTCATTGTCACTGATTTGAATTTTAGGCTGTGGTGAAAATAGTGAAGCAAATGAATGTTGCTGACTGTGATAATCACTATCAGTCATACTGATAGCAGATAACTGATGATCTTGAAGGTTCAGTGTGTTCGAACGAATGGGAGTAGAAGTTGACATACTCTTGAAGAGAGAAAATATCCGAAGGAATGAAGATAAATATGAACAAATGATAAACAAGATATAATATTATCAAAAGATTCTTTATACATACTCCGCTGTGTTGCGAATCATATTGTGATAACGATATTGATCGTGATTGATTTGGTGTAATTGGTTGTTGTTTTGTTCTATTTTTCAATGTCGAATTTGGAATCCACGTCAAAATTAATGTTGCACCTAGTGTCTACAAAGAAAAGACACTTCAGTAATGGAAGAAAAGAGCTATGTTCAACTTACTGGATTATTTTGACATTTAATACATAAATACCCTGGATGATGTAATGTTTGAGAATGAAGTCGACTTGGTGGATGTACACAAACATTATTTTTACTAAATACAATTTCACCATCTAATGGGGGAGCTTTGGATGAAGAACGGGATGTTATAAATGACGAAGCACGACGAAAAATTGCTGTCATTGTCGACGGAGTTGAGGGTGAAGCCATTGATAACGAAAATGACATTATTTTAGGTTCACTCGTTGTATCAGCTAGAGAACATCTACAGTAAACAAAATAATACCACAATAATGTAAGAGAATACGAGAAAACTGTATCAGGATAAGATGAATAATTTTTGAGTGATATAATACTGTCGAATCAAATTTACGCCTAGAGCAGAAAGTGTTAGCCAGTAATACATAATGAACCTCAGTCAATACTATTTTAACATTATATTTAAGTTTAGTCTGCATCAATAAGAAAAACATACAGTTGGTGAAGAACTCTAAAAAGTCTCTTTCCAGTGCATTCGACTGGGTATTTTCATGCTGATCTATGGTAAAGGGTATCAATCGTCCTCTTCATTCTTCTGGTCGCTGCTAACAATACAGCAGTCTGAATAGGGAGTAGTAGATTTCTCATAAAGTAACAGAACTAGGAAACAAAACTTTTTTAAGTAGAATGGCGCAGAAAAATTTGACAGAAAAACTTAGTATGTGTAAAGGCTTGGATTTGATAATATTTGTCCTATCAAACAATAAAGATCAATTTTAAAGCCGAGAAATAAAATTAATTTTGTAAATAGAAAAAAAATAATACATTGAGAATACGTTGAAAAGAGAACAACAAAAAAACTAACAAGTTATTTTAAAAGAGTGTTTTCACATTTGTTGGGTGAAATTTTCATTTCATGTCCGTTTATCTTTATTATCTTCAGCATTATGAAAGCGTCTTACACTAGTATTACCATCTTGCTGAAATGTCGTATTTTTCGTCTGTTTGGTATATTGCTCTCCCATCCTTCCTCGATCGTTTTGTGCTACAAAAGATGAACGCGTTGACGTAGTTGATAATCGTGTAGTTATAGTACCTCTAACAAATACAGGTGATGTAAAAAATTGATACAGAAAAGTTATCTGAGTCCAAAGCCAAGTGAATACTAAAATAGAAGAATGGGTGAAAGTCCTTTAAACACAAGATTGAGAAGATCATGTCTTTTATTGCAGCTATTTTCGTACTTATTTAACGGAATATTTTGTAGTAAATTGGTAGGATTAAAATAGGTACTTGCAGATATGGTACGTGGGGGGATACTAGACGACGAGTTCCATGTTGAATTTACTCGATTTAAAACAAGTAAAGCGGTTGTTGGTGCTAATTCTAATTCTTCTAGAATACGATCATTGTAGACTGATGTTAACTGCACACGCGTAGGGCTTGTACGTAGAACCGAGTTTCTGCGACTATAGAGTGGTGAAGATAAAGTTTGGTCGAGATAATCATAGACGAATGATAATTTACAATCGACTGGAAAATCTTCGGTGAAATAAGAGCCATCAGTTAAACGAAATTGTAAACGAACACGAGTATAGTAGGCTTTTCTCGAGACGATTCATCAACATTCTAAAATCAAAACCAAAAAACAATTTATAAGACATCTTTTCAAAATATATTCTTTTTGCTTTAATAATATATATTCTCTAACTCCTACTTTTTTCCCATCCGTTTGTGCATTCTTCTTCGTTGTCACTGCATCATTTTCATGTTGTTTTGTTTCATTACTTTTTCGAGGCTGAAAACTGTTCACATGATTCACTCGATTTTTCTAAATGTAATCACTTCTAATTCTTCATTAGTAATGTCTTTCCATTGTTTATCCATTTCAATCGACGCATCGCTATTGTCATGAACATAAACCAAAAATAAATTGTTCGAAGTTTTAGCTCCACGAACAGCATCAATTACTGCACGTATTAAACCACTGCATTTTATACGGTCTAAAAGTAAACAAAATAACAAAATCATGAAACATAATTATCAAAAATGTACGTTAATACCAATTGATAGAGGATAAGAAGTCTCGTTTACACCCTCATCCTTCATTGCGAATTATGTGAAATTAGTCACTCGATGTATTTCAAAGAAACGAAACGAAAGATGTATGAGAAGGAAAAATGACGAGAAAAATTTTAAAAATGAATCTAAAAGATCAACACAATTCAATGTAAACAGTGATTTTTATCTACTATATAGCCTCTTTCTTATGTAACATGTATGAGAAACGACGAACAGAGGATCTCACGCTAAGGATTAGTCATCGATAGACGCGTCGTGAGGTGTCCCAGATTGCGGGCATGGAAGGGGCGAAAAAAACGTCAGAGATAGTGTAAGTTTTTTATTTGTCTCACAAACATGAAACAAAATTATTTCTTAGATGGTGACCTCCATTATAACCTCTCGTTCCTGCGTACTTACTGCTCGACTATCTAAGGTAGACAAGACCCAATGATTCAATCCTTAGCCAGACTATTTGAGGATACAGCTGTTGAACGAAATAAGACATTCTGTCAACCTTTTAAACTATTCATTATCTATGTATAACACTTATTCTACTGGAGGGTGTTTCATAAAAATTCTTAAGTGCTCGACTTAACTAAGTCTAGACCTACGTGTATAAAATTAACACGTAAATGTACCAAATGAAGACTTAAGTCGAGCACTTAAGAATTTTTATGAAATACCCTCCAGTAGAATAAGTGTTATACATAGATAATGAATAGTTTAAAAGGTTGACAGAATGTCTTATTTCGTTCAATAGCTGTATCCTCAAATAGTCTGGCTAAGGATCGAATCATTGGGTCTTGTCTATCTTAGATAGTCGAGCAGTAATGTGCTATTTTATTTTTTTTTTGTTTAATTACCGAGTAAAAATTAAGATGAAAACAAACAGAAAACCGTATTCTATTGCGTAATGCAATCGGCAAATCATAAACATCGCATAGATGACGCATATAGTCTATTATGTAAGCCATAAGATATAGCCATGCTCTCAAACTGCAGTCGTTTTTCAATCGTTTTCCTAATCATCACCGAAGTCGTAAAGTTCACAAATAAAACTCTTTGAATTGCGATTTCTTTTTACAAACACATCAAGCGTGATTATGCCCTGTCCAAAAACTTTGAACAAATGTTTGTGTGTATCCCGTTTAAACGAATAGATTTTTACTATGTTCTAATGAAAGGTTTGATTTGAGCATTTAAAATGGACATTTTTGACGTTAATGATTTATCCAAAAGTCACACAACACTGTAAAAAATGTTACAATCCTGCCGAATGTATATATAATTCTATCTTTTTTGTTTGTCGAATACAGATACTTGAATTGTTGTGGTAGAAATTTTAAATTTGAATGTCGTACGAAACAACCCTTATGAAACTCAAACTGAAGCCTCTACTTTATCTTAGTTTTTTTAATAAATAAATCACTGCTAAAACACATTCAATGTTGGTAAATGCATTCTATTTTTGAATTTTCTTTTATTAAAAAAATGTATTCATTAGATTGAAGAACAGAAAAAAAAGAGAAACGAAAAAACAGCACCAATATTGAAACGAATATAATAATAAAATCTATCTCCGTACAGCATGTAAATTACACATAATATTTTAATAGAAACATACGAATAACAACAGAATATTTTCAACAATAACAAGAGAAAAATATGGTGAGAGAACAAATACGTTTTGTGTTCGTAAATGGTATAGATTTTTCGTTGCTTTTACGAAGACTTAGTTATAAAGTAAGCTGGTCTCGATACAAACAAAAAAAATAGACAACTCGTGCTTCTACAGTAGCAAAACAAACTTGAAATGCGAGTGTGTGGATCGATATCGTTGAAGTGATCAAAAAAAGTAGTAATCTTCTATGAAGAATTGCATAAAAACACAAGTCTCCTTCGCAGTCAGATATCAAAAGTTCATATCAACAACAACATCAGAGAAAAACAAGCGAGTGACAGTATAAAAACTTATTTGTCAAATTAAAATGAGAACGAAAAAGAAAAAAACCTATAACTTATAGATTAACAAAAAAATGAATGATGTAAAGAAACGAAACAAAGGTATGTACAACGAGAGAAAACTAATTGGATATAATATTATACTAAATTTTAATCCTAGTACATAAGCCCTAAAAATAGATAGAACGAGAGAAAAAAAATAAAGTTGATCACATATTATTTTAAGGGGGATTAAGACGATCTCATGAATGTTGTTCTCATCACATTCACTCATCATTATTTTGATTCATTTAGCTCATACACTTTAGTACTGTTAATGTTAGTTGCACAAATAACTATATGGGACGAACATACGCTGCAGGAAATAAACCGATTCTACCTCGAACTTCTCCTAAAAGTAAAATAGAAAACACATAATGACGATCTACTGTATGAAACGTAAATGATTTGTTTACCTTTCCACCAGCTCTCATCCGTTTCATCAATAATTCGTACTCGATCTCCTCGTTTCAATTCAATTTCACCTTCTTCTTGGGGTTTAAAATCATAAGCTGCTTGATACATTTGACTTGCCGGTGATGGTTGTGGGCGTACGGTCTGTTGCTGATTCTAAATGAACAAAAGATATGGCCAACTGACATATATATACACACACATACACACAGAACGAAAAAGAATAGATCCCAAGCCAAACATAGATTACATTTACACTAACGATGGAGTAGAACTTCGAACTTTCAAGAGATAACTTCAGCCCCTGCATGCTGCTTATGTTTCTTGAACAAGTCAGGAACCTGTTTTTCTCGAATATAAGTCAGTAAAATCAGTGCACCTACAAGAATTGATCTTCAAATAGTCAGCAGAAGCATAATACACTGCCAGATAAAGTATTTTCATATTTCTTTAGCAAGATTTTTAATGAATATTAGTAGTTTTAACAAGCAAATAGTAGCCTGATTATTTACTTACAAATGATGTTTGTTGTTGTTGTTTTGGATATTCATGGTGATTTCCTGATGATGACATATCTTTCAAAAGTAGAGTTTGCCCCCGATTGACTGATGTTGTTCGATGGTAATCAATTAATTCATTTATGGAATCAAATTTAACAACCCATAAAAAGTATTTACCCATACCATCACGTAATACTTTAAAATGTTGAACTTGATCTTGATATCTAATAACATAAAAAAATGAATAGTTTGTCTATCAAAGATGGTAAAAAATTTAGAAAAAAAGTTCTTTCAACTAGGAAATACATACTTAACCGATAATGAAAAATCACCCGGTAAACTTTCACACATTCGCACAAGAAATGCGCCGTCTGGATGAATAAAACGCTTTGTCGTATCTTTTTGTAATAAAATTTTTTCAGCTTCATCACGTCCAATTCCACGATGAAACCATCTAAATAAATGTACTTCATCAGTAATGAAACAAATAAAATCTCGATTGTACTTACGGATTTGGAACCATTTCAATATATGTTTTTGGTACATAACCCTCTGTGCCACGTAATTCCGCTTTATACCAATTCATATCTTCCTCCATGTTAAGGACCTAGAAAGAAAAGTAAAAATAATTCTACATAAAACAATCATTTCAAAAAGAAGACAATGTTTTTAGAATATTTTTCAAATAAAAATTATATTTTATTATCATTGAACACTTTTGTCTTACTTTGAGTATAGCTCCTTTCGAAAAACTAAGTTCATCTTGTGCTGTCGCATTAAAATCATATCGACCATATGCTTGCATAACGAACACCCAAATAAATTATCAACAACAACACATAAAATAATTAAAATAAGATGGAAAAATGACGAGAAAAATTTTAAAAATGAATCTAAAAGATCAACACAATTCAATGTAAACAGTGATTTTTATCTACTGTATAGCCTCTTTCTTATTCATGTAGAGTCCTACATGAGTACTCATGCAGATAACTCATGTAGAGTACATAACGCATAAGAGAAGCCTAAATAACATACACAATTAAAGAAAACAAATATCTAATTGTTCTACATTAGATAATATACAAATCAAACAATTTCCAAAATGAAATAATGCTGAATTTAATTTCACAGTCAAGTTCTTCTCTAACACCACTAACATGAACGATCGAAGAAACAATGATGTAATAGACAGGTAAAAAATAGATGAATCTGACACATCTCTGTTGTTTATAATTTCATTCTATGTCAGGTATTTTTTTATCTTTGCTGGAGTCTATGCAAATTCGATATACTGATAAATGAGATGTCAGAGTCTGGCACGGTTCAAGTCTTAATGATAAGAATAATTTTGACTCCATTTGATTGGGATGAATAGATGAATCCATTTTTAGTATTTTCGTCTGTCTCATTGTGTGCATTTTATATAACGATGTTCAAAAAGCGTAATTCAAAACAAAGACATGAGCAACGAAGGTAAAGAAATCATAAATAATCTAGAAACGTGCTATCCACGTTTCAATGATTAGTACAACCGAGGAGAAAATTTTCTAATTTTTCTCAATCAGATCAATGTCGTTTATATACCAGTGATGGATGACACAAAACAAACGGGCGAATGAAACAATGTTTAAAACGCCAGTTTTTTTCTCTGTTTTTTTAAAGGTCTCAATAATGACTAGTCATTTAACTCCAAATACGTTCAGAACATATCATCTTGGTTATGTTAATACAGAAAACTTTCGCCGAGGAAATTTGATCCTAACGTGTGCCTCATTCTTTTATAGAAAAATGGACAGATAATAGCACAAAAATAAAAAACTATAAGTCATACTTGATTTTTATGATAAACACATTCTACCTGTTTAAAAAGAGTCTGATCACACTGAATAATGTTTGTTGGCTATACTTGTTTTTGAAAATATTCTTGAACTGAATCTGCTTTAATTGTTTGTTGACTTTTTGTTTGATTTCAGTTTGCTAGACATACTCTCCATGCTCTGTCAACGAATTGATAAGCTTGAATTAAACATAGAGTTTCATCTACTGAGTTTTCTACAGACAGGTTGTGGATAGCGATTGTCTTAAAATTTGTTTTAGATCAATTATAAATAGTCCGTGTAAAACTATGATTTCACATTCGCTCAGTATCGCATAGTAATGTGTGAAGTCTTTGGAAAAGACAGATCAAAGAGGCTATTTCAAGCTACTCAAGCCTCCTTGTTTACGAAGAGTATTGTACCAAGCTAGAATAAGAAAACAAAACAATCGTATTTTCATTCGAGAATGATACTTTTTAGAAGCGTAGTGTCAGCTTTTTTGCAGTCATCTAAATTCTTACCTAATCGGACATCCAGCAACTTGTGTGTTTATCTTTTGTGTGAAATTTGTGCAGTTTCTTATTGAAAGCAATCGATTTTATCGGACGTGCAAAGGTAAAATCCAATGAATAAAAAAATAGTATCAGATATTTTTCTTTATAATCACATAATTTGATTTCTTAGAAACTTTCATCAACGATCGCTTAACCTTTAAAATCAGCGCTTGTTTCAATATTTGATCATATCGTAGAGTTTATTCACGATAAACAGACAGAAACTGTTTTGAACTACGAAGAGATGTAGAATATTATATTAATATATAGATGTAGCTATTTTAAACAGTTAAGAGAACAACCGATGATACATCTAGAAATTAAAATAAAATAAAGTCACACGAGTAAACCTGAAGAAAACTGTAATAAATTGGAATCAGATACATACAACAACTCTCAGATGTCTTTTCAGTTAGACGATTATTATTTTTTAAATAATTCTCCTAAAGTTTATTGAGTAAAACGCATATTTTCTGTAAAAATCAAATCTGTAGTTATGATTATAATCTTTACTAATATCTACAAAAAATGTTTCTGTAAGTGTCACTCATTCACACTCAAAAATATCATAAGTTAGTAATAAGATAATAATTGAAGACTAAATTTGACATCAATTAATTGAAACTAAATACAAAATATAAAGAAGCACGCGTTAAGACCAATTTTTCGTTGCAAAATCGCTAACTTTCTTTTGTATAAACATAACGAAAGTGATGTTCTGAACATATCTGGAAGTTAGTTTTCGAATTTTCACGCTTTATTACCTGACGTAACGTCAGGAGAATACACCTGAAGAGTGAACAATGTGCCACAGATCCTACAGTGGATGGTGATGAAAACTAGATCAGCTTGAAGAAATGAATGTTCGAATTTCAAACTTCCTCAAATCATTCTGGTTATGTTGATACAAAAGAAACCTCGGGAAGGAAAATTAGTCTCAAAGCATGCCTTTTTTTATGGACAAATGGGCGGATAAGGCAAATGTACAATCTCTACTCATTGTTATTTTTCACTTAAGTCTTCTAAATAATCAATATTTGTTGATGAGTGTGTCGGTGTGGTTTTTCCGACTGTTATATCTTCAATTCCACCACCTAAATCACTACTTCTTCCACCATCGCTTTCATCTTCATATTCAATAACTTCATCAATATTTTGGTCTTCCCCTTTGGTTCTCACTCTTGGTGTACCACCACCGGTTGTTGTTGAATTATCATCGTCATTGTTATTATCATCCAACATACCTTTTAATCGATTTAATGCTGCTGGAGTTGCATTTCGTTTTGATAACAATGATCCGGATGTTTCTTCCTCATCTTCACTTGTTGATTTATTTTTCTCATCAAAATCGATTAATAAATTATTTTTGTTGCTATTACTAGTATTTTTATTGTTAATATGTAGTATTGAATCATTTTTAGTATTAATTGTAGTCGGTAATTTAAATGAAACTTTAGATACATTTTCAGATACTGACGATGATGAGTCAGATGTTGGAGAAGCTGCTCGACGAGCTTTTGTTGTTGTCATGATTGGAGTGGATGAAGCTGGTGAAGGATTTGAACGTGGATTACTGAAAGTAAACATGAAACAAAGTGATTCTATTTTTGAAGTCAAAGGTGTAACTTGTTTGGTCTTGTGTTAATTGTGTCGTAAATAATTAGTACAAAAGTTTTATCGTTCTACACTTTCTTACTCTAGAAAAAAGAATTTATTTACTCTTACTTCTTTGAATCTGTTGTTGTTGCTATTGTTGTTGTTTGTAATGTTTTTGAGCATAACTGGAACCATTTGAGACATATCTGTTCATAATCGTATTTTGATACTGACGCCGATGTTAAATGTTTGTCCATGTAACATTCTAATATTTCTTTATCGAATGTTGAATATAACGAATAAAAATGTTCTCTCACTTTCTTCATATCATTTAATTTTTCTGTTGGAAATGTTCTATTTATTGATTGTTGAATACTCTCAGGTAATGTTGCTGACATTGTTGTTGTTGTTGTCGGAGTCGGCGATGAATCGATATAATGTTGCAACAAAGCCTGCAATAATGGTCGAGCATCATTCGCTGCTAATTTCAACTTTTTCGCTAGTTCTTGTCGTGATACATGCTGAGTAGGATGATGGGTCTCGACGGCGAATATATCTGATGTGTAATATAGATCAAAATGTTCAAACCATTCCATTAATAATTCGTAACATAATCGACCAGTTTGCGTATTAAAAGAATTCAACAACTGAGTGGATGTTTGGTGATGTTGTCCTTGTTGAGTGGCTGATTTTTCAATTGTTTTAAATACAGCTGAACGTAGTTGAGCTTTTATTTTCGATATAAGACCTTCATTCTCTAACGACTGATAGACTAAATCTTTTAATTCAATTTCACTACGGTCCTCTTCAACGGCTGTAGACATTCTCTGAATAAAAAATATAACTTTTATTAAGAACAAATTTTCATTTTCGCTTTTATTTATGCCTAAGGTATGGAGACCCTCCTAGTGAATGTACTTGCGAGTGGGTCCTTGTTTACTTGCAAAGTTCCACGGGTACTTGACAAGTATTTTCAGAAAATAGTACTTGATAAATATCTGAAAGCACTTACCAGGTACTCGATTTTCTTGTTGAATCTCCCACAGGTACCTGGAGGTTACTTAGGCAAGTGCTTGGCAAAGGACTCGGCAAGATAAAGTTATTCAAGTACTTGATTTTCTTGACAAGTACTTGGTTTACTAGCAAAAAAGCGCAAGAACGTTGGACAAAACTTGCGAGGGTACTTGACCAAGTACCTGCATGCAAACACATTCACTAGGAGAGGTTCTTATGTTTTCTTAATTACTGCATCAGATCACTGTAAATCACTCTTTACTTTTGAATCAAACCCATACAGAATTTAGCACTGGATCTAGGAAAACTTTTTAGTGTATGCATTTTACTTAAAAATCATAAAAAGAACGACTTTTGCTGTTGAAAATGGAACGTTTTCTGTCTTCGTAATTACGATTACATCATTCCTTAACATGCTACTAAGATAAGCAACTTCTCATAATTACTTTGCTTCCGAATTAATTGAAAATAAAAATTAAAAGAAAATTAAAACCGGTAGACTGTAGGTTAAGGAGATAAGTGTTTAAACTTGTCAGATCAGTATCAGCATGTATCGTCATGGTTGTGTAGCACGTGGATAAGACACTCTACTTTTGTGAAAACTGAAACCAAGATAGAATTTTCCATTTTGCCCGAACTACAAAGTGAAATCAGTACAATCTTGTTGTCTAACAGTCGTAAGATTTCTTACTATGACTTTAGTCATATCCACTGAAATAGCCGCTGAAAGGGCCAGAATGACATGCCTCCTCATCCAATGAACCTGCCTCACGTAGACCACTAAATTTCATATTTATTTTCATTTTTAAAGATTTTAGCCAATCTCCAGCTTGGAGTAATCGTGCGAAATTTCTTGCCTCTTCCTTTTTTTCTTTCTAATATTTTTCAGGTAGTAGACATTTAGTAAACAAAAGAGAAAACTACTTTTGTTTTATTGCTTTTTCAAACATGTGTTCTCACAAAGAAAGTAATAAAATTAAAGAGAGAGAGACAGAGAGAAAGAGAGAAAATTTAAAAACAAAAGAGATAATCTGAGACGATTGTGGAGAGCAAAGCGGAACGGAATTTTTTTGCTTGAGCAAAAAAATCCATTTCTCAACGTGCATGTTTGCTTTGGTTTCATATTATAATTAGAAACAGTGTTGATGTAACAGAGATGAAATAACTAGATCCAAGCAGAGAACTAGTAAAGATTTTACACCATGTTGCTTATTCTCCTTCAAGATATCTACAAGACAAAAAACTTATTAGTTTCCCAAACGATATCAAGAGAGTTTAAAGGAAATTAAACCAAAGCTTCATCTAAACGCTTGGCTGAATTCTGATTGACTGATGATTATATAATTTGTATTGAGTTGGATATATAAGCGCAAATCACCAAGTACAGATTTAAATGGAATCTATCGATCTGATTTTTAATCAGTTTATTGCAGTTGACCTGTTTTATTAGAATACTGCGAAACTTTGTGAAGAACAAATCCTTGTTTTTAATTGGCTTAATCATGACTAGTAATTTTGTGCTACCGATCAATCACACCGAAGATTATATTTTAGAACAGTGAACAATTTCAAAGTAAAAGGCTAGTGTAGTGTAGTGGTCAGTTTAAAAATTTGCTAAATGACAATATAATACCGCGGAACGCGAATGTTAAGCTGATTTTAATCTTTTTCATACGAATAACATATTATTCTGATGAACTGCTTCATCAACGATAAATTTTGATTGTACACTCGACAGAAAAATAGTTTAGAACAGTCACATCTGAAAGATATTTTATTCCTCAAAATTTATGACAAATTCGAGTTATCTTCTTTCCGATTCTTTTGATTTTAAATTTGACGGTCTTTCATGCATACTGATACACGAGGATAAACGTTAAAATACGAGCGCCAAGAGCCAATAAATCTTTAAAGCGTCAGAAACAAATCGCTATAATTAACATACAAAAACCAAAAAGGCCAGTTAGTTGAAGAACACTGCTCTTAAATTTAGCTAGCTATTGGCGCACCTCGACTAGGAGTTACAGATGATAGTCGATAAATCAGCGACGGAGAATATAATTATAATTGTGGACTTACTATGTTGGATGACGGGGAATATTTTCTTCAGAAAAGTCAATCTCTTAAAGAGTTCAATTGATCCAAGTGTGTTACCAATAGATATCTCATGATTCGACGAATCTGAGATTTTTTGGTTTAGGTTACTTGAACATTAAAACTTAGACATAGGTTTAGTCTTACGGAGTTCGTTATCTGTTTTTCTTTAATATCTTTCAAAACTGTTTTATCTCTTTGTCTCGTACAGTGCAAGTTCAGTGATATGCGGCAATAGTGAACAAAATTTCAATGGGTTATTCCTAAAACTCTGTCATTTTATGCAGATGCTAGGAAAGAGCTAATTTAGAGTAAAAAGAGATTTATCGTCTCAAGCGCAGTTCAGAAGGTTGTAGACTTATCACGTAGCGTTTTCATATCAGTTTGAAGAAGAATTGTCACTGAATCTGGCAAACAGTTAGTTTCTTGCAAACCAAGAACAGTTTGACACTAATACTATCTCAACTCAAATGAAATCCCACTTTTCGAAGAGTTTTCTTGTTATACTATTGGATGACTGCGATATAAAATCACAAAAAATGTTAGCTGTGGTTGTCGCCTCTATTTTCAGGTTTGCGTGCTAGACATAATGGCGACCGTTTTGTTATTTCTATTTTAGACTGACATTCTTTTGACAGAAGTATGAAAATATTAGTATTTTATTGTACATTCGTTCTGGTATCGCTTTATGCTTTGTCAGGTATGATTAATGACCTGTCAATGTTTAGCGGTATTTTTTACACATGTTTTGTCATTCCTAGTCTTATCAATAAAATGTTATGTGTGTAAAGAGCCGGATTTAAAATGTCGTGATCCATTTCAAAATGATACAATATTTTTAAAAGATTGTGCACAAGTTGGAATGGCAAATGCAACAATGTGTAGAAAATACATGTGGGAAAGTGTGTTAAACTTGATCTTTCTTTTGATTACATTTAATCTCTTATATACTTAAATTTAGTTGGTGATGGTGTTACTTATTTTCAACGTGGATGTGCTGTACATGGGCGAGTTAGTAGAAAACAAGGAAGAGGTTGTATTGAGAGAATAGGTACGTATGTTTCGAAAAAAGTCACCAAACTAAAGTACAATAGAATCAAGAATAATAAAGACGAAGCAAAGTTTATTAAAGACTAGAATTAATGTTTTTTTTTCTTGTAGGGACATGGAAGACAAGAATGTGGTATTGCCAATGTGACAATAAAGACGGCTGTAACGAGAGTATATCTTTACGTTCGTCCAAAATATTAATTTTATTCTTTATTTTTTTGTTTTTATCGATCAAATAGTAGAAGATTAGTTCCTTAAATTTGTTTGTATAAATAACGTTTTTGTACATGGTTTTTAAACTACTTTTTTGTGTAAAGAAAAACATTCCAGTTTGTTTATTCCGTCTATCTTATGCTTTATGTAAATTTTAATACATTAGTGTCGTTCTTTTTTTGAACGATTGAATATATCCCTCAATCTGTTCGTGTATTTTCTAATCCTAATGATGATAGAGGGTAGTTCTTTATTGCCGAACTATATTGCCACTGCGATGAATTTCATTCTGAATGATGATCCTTTTCTCTCCCGTAGTTCGACATTTTTTCTTGTTCTATTTCCAACATGATTGATTTATCTTGCTTTATTTGCCAATTTGTTTTTACTCATTCGTGAATTTTTCGTTTTAAGAAAGATATTTCGTTTCTATTCTCAATGTGCAGGAAGAAATATTCTCATTTTGATTCTAATTTGTTTGTTTTTGATTAATGACTTTTCTTATTTGTTTTTTATACGAATCTTTTTACTTCTTTTTCTACACGTAGATTTTATATATCATATCTGTTATACTCACATTGAATCTAAGATAATAAAATTAGGTCAATAATTTTGATTAGAGAATTAATTACGTTACGAATGAATGCGAAAATGACTACACACTATGTATATCGCATAAGGAGTATAAAGATGGCAGATTACTTGGTAAATTAGCGAGAAGTGTAGAATTTTGTAACATCACATTAAAGCGTTTTCTAAATTAATCTCTAAAGCACTCTGCTATAGATAATGTTTTTGTCTAGTTGTAGATACTAACGAGTTTTACGCGTACTAGAGCTTATATTTCAAACTAAACATTATGCTAGCAGGGGTTTATCGTCTAGCAAAACACTGCCTCATCATTGAGGAACCTCTGAAAATTCAGAGGCAAGTGCATGCTGCATATCCATCTCGAATCGGATTGACCATAGCAAAATAATCATCATTACTTTGGAAACAAAATGTTCAAAAATATTGCGCGATTTCTGAATGCTTGACAAAATTTTACTCATATTAAATGAAAAGTTTTTACTTGCGTTTTTTTTCTTCAGAAATATATCTATCAGAAAAATTTTGCACGAAATTTTGCATCGTCTGATGTTATTTCGGAATTTTAGGACAAACCCTCTTGGAAAAATATGAGATTAAAAAATGTTAAAAAACTGGGCTTTTCTAGCCAATCAGTGGTAGTGTTCAGTTTTCAGAGAATATTGTCTAAAAGTCTATCAACCTTCCACTTACAAGTCATCAAATTTCGTAGAGAATTTAATTCTGCACTCGATAGTGTAAAAAATAATTTAGAGCCAAGTTTGGGTTTTAAAAACCCAATCTTTCCTAGATCTTGTCAAAAATCATCATCAAAAAATAATTTTAAGCCTCTGAAAGCTGGAAATATAACATAAGAAATCTCCAAACCAGTTAGACAACAAAATTCTCTGCCTTTGGATATAAAAATAATTTATTTTTGAGACTATTTGATGATCGTCCATGCTTTTTTAAAACAAAAAAAAACTGTACATTGCAGTAGAAACACTAAACATGTATTAATGTTTTGAATACTACTCAAAGGGAGCTAACATGTTTGGGAATTCATCAACGAATAGTTAAAATATTCATTTTTTCCGTACACGCTAATTTATATGGTAAGGACAAACGTTTCATTTTAACACGGTTTTATTATGAAATTGAAATGAAGTTTATTTTTCTGGAACGTATACACAATTTAAAAGTGGTTTCTATTCTAGTTTTGGATGTATATTCCCATGTGTATGATATAATACTATAACCTAGTCATGAAAACATATGTATGATTCATCATCAATCATCTATCCTATGCATGATCAGTTCTTTTTTACTTTATTAGAAATTCGTTTGTGTGATGTTTATTCTACTTTCTTCTATATCAACGTTAAATAAGAATGACTGTTTAAAGCAAAAAAAAAGTACGCATCTAACAGTTGTTTTTTTATAAAAATAAAACCAGAAGAAACAAGAAATAAAAAAAATGTTTCGCTGAAATTTTCGATGATAGACGCTTATGTATCAATGTGATTCAACGTATTTTTTTTACGTCCTCGTGCTCTGACTGTGTAGAAGAAAAAAAAAAATAGAACCGTGTCAAAAGTACAAAGGAAAAAAAATAAAATTATTAAACGTAACTTTGTTAAAGAAGTGAAGGTAGTACGTTTATTTTCTCTTTTTGTACCATCCAATCGACACGGCTTATTGATCGCAAACAAACACCACGGCAAACGTAATAAAAATGAAGATAATATACCACTATTTGGAGTTATGTCGATTATTAACCATAGAAAACATCCGATGACAAACATGAAAAGAAGAACGGTATTTAAAGTGAAGACGCCAGTAGGATGGTAAGACATGTTCAAATATTTAATTAATACAGTAGTTAGGCCATGTTGAAATTGAATACTACGTACTACATGAGTGAGAAAAAACGAAGTTTAATCTTGCGCAGATATTTGCAAAATGTTGCCGTTTTCAGAGAAAAATGCATATTAAAACTTTTTTCCCTTTCAGCAATTTTCAAGTATAAGCTAAATAGACATATATAATATACATAAAAGCAGAAGTATAGAGAATGGAGGAAACATGTTTTTATCAAGTTATATTCATAAGGGAACACAGACGACAACTCTTTAGTTTACAATGCGGACAGATCTTCAAAGATAAAAGACTTTCCATTTCAATTTAATTTCAAAAATGATGCCATTCTTAAGCGAAATACAAGAAATACCAATTTATACCTGAGAAACTGAGAGAAAAAGAACTGTCAGACGATCGAAGTCTTTTTTAGTAAAGAATAAGAGATAAAAAGGTTAATTCTTTCTGTTTTTCTTAGTCATCATGACAAAAACATATAATCGGGCGTATATTGCATTAACCAAATGTTGGTCATGCACGATTTCCCATAAGCATAAGAAACTTTCTATTAGAACAGAAACGGGCAAATTTAGTTAACATTCAGGCGACAATTTTCATAGCTAATTTTCCAACTGATTTTTCGTACGATTTTTTTGATCGTACGAAGATTTTTGCGCTAAAAACACGATTTAAGATCTTTTTGTGATTGACCCAAGTACCTAGAAAAAGGGCCCATTTTTTGTACATTTCATACTGATGACGAAATTTTCTTTATAAGATAAACATAAAAAATTTTTTTTAACAATTGTAGTAAAATTCTCAAATGAGGGACAGTTGGGCGACAAAATTTCAATTGAGGAAGTAGTCCTCGCGTAACAGGTAATCAACAGCTGTACACATATAACGAAAGATAGTCGCTACTGAAATGTAAACTATAGTGGTAACGCACGGCGTGCATCCGCGTGGACATTTGGCTGAAAATTGAAATTGCACTTTTCCAAGATTTAAATACTGTCAAATATACTTCGAAATGCAAGCAAAATTTTTATGCCACTCTTGGGGGAACCTGGAAAAATCATGGCCAGTTATCAAGCGAGAAATTGTTTCTGACCAAAAAAAGCGACATGTCCGTCTGGCATGGAAAAAATGCACACTGTGCGACGTCAGCACGATTAGTTGGCGCATTTGCTCACTTTTTCGAGCGTTTGCTGGAAAGACAGAGAAGGCGACAAAGAAGATGATGATTCATCATTTCATTCAATCATTTTTTTTTTAAGATCGAGAAAAGTTAGTTGCTTCAGTCATGCTCACCGTGAAAGAAAAAAACGTTGATTGTAGACTTTTGCGTTTAACTTAATCTCGACCTACGTACATGGTTTTAAAGGCAAGATAACACTCATCTGCAATTCGTTCCGTCTGTGGACTTAAGTGCCTTCCTTAAGTCAACTTCCTTGCTTCTGCCGCGCCGCGTGTCCCGATCTAAGAATGATGGCGTTGAATTTGCGCTTGACGGTGTAATCACGTTTTATTCGTTATAGCTGTGCTGTTATCTAATAGAAGTCGCAGATGTGATGTTCCAATCATGCCTTTCTTGCGAATTTGCATTGCAATCGCGCATACGTCGCTATTTTCATGCCGTAGCTCTCACTCCAAGACTCTCAACGTAACTACTGCATTCTCGCGTTATTTCCTTTGCGCTCCATTAGATGTTTGATTCCAGTTACTTAGCAGAACTTCACTTCTTGGTCGTACGACTCATATTTTTGGTTTTGCATCTGTGAGTTTCGCGGCGCGAAATATCAAACCCTTATGAATGAGAAATGTCTGACGTGAGTCGTGATGCTTGTTTAACAGTAACGCTGCTCGCGTAAGGGCAACGGACGATCGAAACGCTTTGATAAAAGCTGTCATGTTGCCCGTCATGAAACGCGTTTCCTGATTTGTGCGCGATCGTGATAAGACAAGTTGTCGCTTCGGGATGATAGAAAATTCTTACTTTCAGTACTAACGTAAGAGTATAGCGCGATCCCGAGGGGACATCAAAATTTTGTGGCGGTGGGGACAAGAACTAGCGTTTTTACCGCGATCATGTCGTGGCAAGCATCTTGAGTTCAAGCCTGGAATTCAAGATTTCGACCGTCATGGTTACAGAATCTGTCTAAAAAGGACTTGATCAAGATTTGTAACTTATTCTGAGAAATTAAAAAATAGTTGAGAGTTAGTCAGAATCTCGACAGATTATCGATGTCTACACAGAACCCTGATAAAATCTTGAATATTTTTTTGGGTTCATAAGGCATTATTTTCAGTTATTTCTAGTTTTGATCTTAGTGACATTTCTAGTTCTTTAACTTAGTGACATCTATTATATAAAGTGTAAAGAGTGTATATAGGACGATGCTCTACACACGTCAAGATACCCTAGTATAGAATTTTATTCAAACTATAGAGTTAGATTAAACTTGTACAAAAAATATGGCATTTCATCTAATATTTTGACGAAAGTTCGCTAGTATCTAGCCCTACTGGAGGAAGAAATAATGGAAAGCCTTAGGCATGCTGACATCTAATGGAAAAATGGAAAATAACACAAATCGATCTTTTTGTTCTTTTTCTTCACCAATCAAATTATATCGCTATGCCTCTCGCTTAAACTGAAGTTTTTGAAGTCTAACACCAAAACTGTTCAATAATATACTTTAATTATAAAAGCTTTACTCAGTTAATAAAATTAAGCAAAAATGACTTTTTTCACTACTTTATTCTCAGCATTTTAACAAACTAAATGAGGCGTGATAAATTTCATTTCTAGCATTTAGTTTCAGCGTTCGTTTCAACAATTCTTTTATATGATTCTAATAATTTAAATCACATGCATATTTCGCATCGATTTATCTTCACTTCTATCATGTGAACGCACTTAATTTGGTTCGATATCATTTTCGAATCAGTAATTGGTATTGCATCTCAACAGGGAAACATCAAAAAAGGTAGTTCAACGTTTGTATTTGCATTTGCATTTCAATTATCTTTTTTCGTCAGTAAAAAAGATTATTTTATCGTAACAGTTCAGTCAGTGTTTGGCGAGTACGTCCATAAACTCTCATGTAGAAAGAAAACGTAATCAAGGCTCTGTAACGATATGGAATTTGCTCAGGCAATCTGCTTTAGTGAATAGTCTTGACGTAAAATCGTTTAAGTTTTTTAAAGGGTTTCTTTTTTTCTTGCGAGAGATCTAATGTCTTTGTAGATTCTTCATCAGATATTTAAGCTTTATTGTTTCATTCATTTTATCTTGAGTGTGCATCCTTTGACCTTTTTTACTTTTCTGAAGTGGATCAACTTCTGTCTCAATATGTGTTTAATTAATGTTGCTTTCCTCTTCTTATACTGTTAACTATTTTTCAAATCTAAAGCATGCAAATATTATGTGTATATAAAACATTCTTTAGTCATTTACGGGTTTATTTTTATTCTACTTTTCAGTGGTTCATCATGGCTTATTTTTCACATGTCATTCTCGTGTTTGAAGAGGTTCGAGTACATATTAGAAAAAAAAAACGCTATCTTTTATCTTGTAAACAACTAAACTGAAAATGTGTATGTAACAATATGAAAAGCTTTAACCTATTTTACTTCAACAAAATAAGGTATGCACGTCTGATAAGCTCTGCAACAATGAATCAGTAGAGACCTGGTTATTGCTACTATTTTCAGATTTTACTTTATACTAATATTACAATTTAGAAACGTTTCTTGTTTTGGTTAATAACAATGTTGCTTGCCGGGTTAATATCGTGTAAGTGTCGTTAAACATAAGTACTTTTTCCTTAGAAGTGAGCACTGCGCGTAAAAGATTTATTGTTGTGCATGTTAAGTCGGAGTGTTTTGTGTTGTTTCTGTCATGTTAAAATTGCCATGTTCCTTCTCATTTTTATGCAAACGGAGTATTACGTCCTAATATTTGATTTTCTCTGTTTTAGTTTTATGCTTGGGCGTACTTCAAGCATATAGTTATCCGTTAGAATGTGCTCGTGGTTCAGAGTATTGGTGTAAAAATCGTGAACAAGCTCTGGAATGCGGAGCATTAAAACATTGTGAACAAACTGTATGGCGAGAACTAAAACCAGCAGTTCCAGTGAATACACCTAAAATGTTGTGTAGTGTATTAGTGCGTGCGATGAACGATTTATACTATCAGAATGGAAAACACAATCCGATAGAAATAAAACAATTTCTAAAACAAGATTGTACCAAGTTAACCGGAAATGATATTCAAGAGCAAGTGAGTTATGAATGTACCCCCTTAAATCACTGAAGAATCCAAAATGATTTAGAGAATGTCCGAAATAATTATAAACTGATTTAAAAACCTTTATTTATAAATTTTTGATTTATAAATGGGTTTATAAACGGTTTTGGGCTGGAAAATTGACCGAAAAAAGTTGAGAGTTATAAATATTTATAAACTACCGTATTTCGGACTCTTCAGTGCCTTAAATGGACCAAAAATTAATCAGACTAACCCTAATTTTTTCATACATCACTTTGAATTAGATTTAAAAAGACTATTTATTGGTATATGTTCTGCATGTTACTACATGCTTTGTGTAAGAGTTTAATGTATTTTTATGAGTATGTTAAAGGATATAACTTGCTCTCTTCTCCATGCATACACTCGGTCTTCATTTTGTTGTTATAACGAATGGATTTTAACGTTGGAAACTGTAAGGATGCGACGGATATAGCTGACCTAAGTCTCATATAAAAAAATATATTTAAAGCACAAAAACAGTCCTTTTTATCTTTTGACTTTGTTATTTGTTTATTTTAGTGTGTTACAGCTGTTGATTTATATTCGGCCGATATTTATCGTCATATTGTTGCTAAAACTGTGAGCTTTTCTTCAATTGCATTATATGCATTCATGTAACCAACCGTCTTTCGTTTTCTTTTTGCCCAGGAATTATCAAAAATTTGTGCCTATATTCAAGGTCACGATAGTCCATCATCAGCAATTGTTATTCCACCTTTAGCATCTGCCAATAGTACATGTGTTATGTGTGAATTTGTCATTCATGTTTTACAAGAATTTATATCAGAAAATTCTTCAGAAAGTGAAGTTGAAAAATGGTTAGAATATGTTTGTCAAATAATGCCTTCGACTATTCGTTCGGAATGTCGATCATTCATCGAATCCTATGGACCGGCAGTGGTCAGTGTACTCGTCCGTGATTTTGATCCAGCCACTGTTTGTAAAAAAATAAAAGTATGTGTGTCAGAAGTAGCAGTGCAACAATTGACAAATCCTTCTAAACTCGCAGTACAAGATACAGTACCATGCACGCTATGTAAATTTGTTGTGACCTATTTGGAGACCACACTCGTCGATAACAAGACAGAAGAAGCTGTCATTTCAGCATTAGAAAAAGTTTGCCAAGCTCTAGAACCAAAAGATCGTATTCCGTGTTTGCTGTTCGTTACTGTGTATGGTCCAAAATTAGAAGAATTATTACTCACATTTGTTACACCTGAAGAGGTTTGTAAGGTGATCAAATTATGTCCAGCATCTAACAAAACATTGAGTAAGCGAAAGCCAGTTTGAAAAAAAAAGTTTATATTTCAAAGCTGACGGATTTTATTCGATTCTCATTTTATTTAGCTCTAAACGAAAAGTATTCATCCCACAAATATATCACTATTGAACGTAAACTACAATCAATGCCAACTGATAAAAATTTAGATTGCGTATTATGTCGTTATGTTCTCACCTATCTCGATACTGTATTAGAAGAAAATAAATCTGCTGAAGCCTTTGTAAAAGCTCTTGAGCTAGTTTGTTCAATATTATCGGATAAAATGAGACAACAATGTGATTCGTTCGTTCACATCTATGGTCCAATTTTGCCAGAATTAATAGCCGAATTAGATGATCCAAACGTTGTTTGTCATTGGTTAAATTTATGCAGCGACAATAGTGTCTCATCTTCAGTCGTTGTACCACCCTCTCCACTATCAGTCGCGGATGCAGAATGTATACTGTGTAAATATGTCATCACTTATTTGGACGCTGTATTAAAAAATAATAAATCGGAAGCAGCTATTGTTGATGCTTTGGATAAAGTTTGTACCATATTACCGGATAAAACAAAACATCAATGTGAAATCTTTGTTAAAGCGTACGGACCATTATTAGCACAACTCATTGCAGAGTTTGCAGATCCAGCCACAGTATGTCAATATTTGGGATTATGTCAAAAGATTGATAATGATCAATATCATCTTATACCGGTGAAAAAATAGTGTGATACATTTTGTTTTCTTTTAATTTGTCAGCTCGGTGATTTTTTTTTCTGTAAAAAGGAATGATAATATTGGGCTTTTGTACTTTTTTCCATTTTCTAATAAAATGAACAACTGTATTTAATTCGCAGTTTAAACTGTTTTTCTTACATCGTTATTTCATTTTCCCTCACAGACCAATATTATTTCTGACTTATATTGTTTCTCCTTTTTTGTTTTAGATTTATTCATTTTCATCAAACTTTTCCATTTGATTATCTGCTTCCTCTTTTGTTTTCTTTTTTTTTCCACTATTCTTAAGAAAAAAACAGAACATCTTATTAAATAGATACATAATGTCCAAGGCCATCAGTGTCGGCCTGTTATTATGTAAGTAAAGTGTATAACTCTCCATCATGTCGCATTCAAATCTATTTTCAATTTAGCCTTATGTGTGAGCTTCACGTTTGGTTATCCCCGTGAATGTGCACGTGGTCCAGAATATTGGTGTCAGACATTTGTAACAGCCTCTGAATGTGGAGCATTACGTCATTGTACGGATACCGTATGGAAATATCAACAAGAAGAAAGTAAAGATGAATCAACAACATGCAATTTGTGTCAGAATATATTAACAAAATCTTATGAAACTATTCAAAATATAAACAGTAACGATGTAAGTAAAATGCTTGTTAACGTCGCTCCGTTTTAGCAAAAATGTAAGAGGTTCAGCGCTGAAATATAGATAAGAAGAAGCGAGCTAGACGAACTTGGACTTTATTTATTAACGAAAGCATAATACAGATGAAGAAACGTTTACTAAGAAGTAGCTGCTACTATCAGGATAACGACATTCAGTTATCATTAGCACTTCTACCACTAACTCATCAAATTAAGACTTTGTAACCACGTCTTTCAGCCAATGTAAACGCACATTATGAAGAGAATTAAGACGGTGTAAATACTAGCGGGGTCATATCTCGAATTTTGATCGACCCGATTTTGAAATGAAACACTCAGATTCATCTTTTATCCTTCTGGAGCAAAAGGGTTAATAAAAGTGCATAAAAACAAATTAGGATTAGCCGAAAATCGTATATACTTTGTGTTAATAGTGTTTATCAAATGTTACTGATTATTTTTAGGCGTTAGCTAAATCTAGTTTATTGAAAAGTTGTCAATCATTTCAACGTCCAAGTGTTTCAGCACAAGTAAAAATGCTTTGTTTTTTTCCATGTATCTTCTGATTATTCAAATGTTTCTTATTTTAGTGTACAGCTGTCATGACAACTTATTCATCATCTGTGTTATCATTGCTCAAAAATCAAGTAAATATAGTTTTTTTAAGTAATATCATAGTCATTCATATTTTATATATCTTCATTTCTAGCGTTATCATACATTATGTCGTTTAATAAACGCATGTGATGTTGAAGAACAAGAAACAACAACTCCAAAACTAAGTAAGTACAAGTATACAAAATGTTTAGTATTAAAAGTTGTCAAGATCGTACAATGGAAATATACAAAATTTTTATCTGCACTATTTCATATAAAGGACTGATAAGTAATTTGGTGTTATATCTTTTAGCTTTAATTGGTAGTAAACGTTGTACATGGGGACCGGGATACTGGTGCTCATCGTTACAAAATGCTCATGAATGTCAAAGTGTGGAACATTGCTCAAATAAAGTATGGTCGAAACAATCGGTGGATAAAAAAGATAATATTTGCCAATATTGTGAATTTACATTAACGAAACTACGACACATGCTTGATAATAACGAAACAGACGTACGTAAACCTTTCTTCTGTAGTTTCAAATTGAACATAACTTATTATTTATTATAGATTGCTGTTGACAAATATTTAACTGGAGCTTGTTCAATGTTACCAACAAGAGGAGAAATCGATCAAGTAAGAGAAGAATCAATGAACATTATGGAATCTATTGATTAATCAATATAATTGATGATGATATAGTTCTACAGATTTAGCGCGTATTAACCAATACGTGTTATGTAAAAAATTCAAATTATTTTATTCCAATGGATCAGAATTTAAAATTTTCTAGTTTCACATGATCATTTCTCTGCGAATATTACTTCTCTTATTCTCAGTGACAGCTGTTTGCAGACAAAATCACTTTAAAGAGTAACGATAAAGAAACTGTAGTTTTTTCTCACGTATCTTGGAATGACCCATTATACAAATAGGCAACCTCATAATACTTTTATATATTCGTTTTAGTGTGTTAAAATGCTAAGCGATTATTCAGAACAATTATTAGCATTGTTAAAAACAAAAATTGTGAGTATTTTCTCTCACAATTTTTATATGACTACTAGACAATTTATTTCTGTTGATTAGGATCCTAGTGTCATCTGTCATTTAACTCATATGTGTAAAGACAGTGAATTGATAAATACAAAAATCAACGAAGTGCCTCAAGTTGGCCAGATCGTCGATGGATATGATACAATGAAAGAAGAAAAGCAACCTCTCGATGATGAGACCAAAATGCTATGTTCGGTTCTTGTACGAGCCACAGCCGATTTATTCAATAGTGGAAAACAACAAAAAGAAATTCAATTGTTAATTAGAGATGATTGTTCAAAATTAGAAACTACTGAACTCATAGAAAAAGTAAGTAGTAAACATAACTTTTCATCAATTGTTTCAAAGAAGACTAAGAATTCATATTGTTGGCCCTCTTACCTATAATATAAATTTTCTTATTTTTATACTTATACTCATATCTATTTTAGTGTCAAAATTCGGTGGATACCTATGAAGCTGAAATCTATCGTCATGTTGCCAATAATGTTGTAAGTACTTTTTATGTTTTGCTTATAACTACATTAAGATTACACTTATGTTTTTAGGATTTATCGAAAATTTGCAGCCTCGTCGAAGGTTATGATTGGTTACCTGAAAAAGAGCAACAAACTGGACAGGTAAGCGTTTGTTATCCCATACACATTAGTTTACCGATAGTTTTTCAGTTTCTCGGAAGTGCAAAGATTGATCATGGTATGTTAATGGTGCTTTTTTTGTTTTGTAGTTAACAACTGATGTCGAATGTAAATTATGTACATTAGTTGTATCAACAGCAAAACGAATGTTGGAAACAAAACATAGCGAAGTAAGTTTTGTCATATTAACGTTTTCTTTCTGAATTTTGTATTACAATTTGTTTTCAGGATAGTGTCATTCGTTATATCGAAGAACAAATGTGTTCGCGTTTACAAAGTTTAGATAAAAAAGCATGTCAAAATTTATTACAAAAAGAAGGACAAGAAATGCTTAATACTTTAACATGTGGAACAGTATGTCGCACAAAAATTTAATAATTTTTTTTGCACACTAGTTTGTCTTTGACGACTAATAACCCTCTTACTAATTACTTATTCGTTAGCTATTTAACGCAATTTTGTCTTTGTTTAGCATCCAATGTTATTATGTACATATTTCAAAGTGTGTACAGCGCAAATAGCACTGCCTTCAAGTCCATTAGAGAAGGTAAAAGAAATAACAAAATACCTGATTTTTTTTCTTGAACAAGCGAGAGGCATTTACTTTTCTTTTCTTGCACTATGACCTCTAAAATTTTTTCAACATATTCATAACTAAGATTCGTCCGTATATTTTTAAAATGATTCGACTTACAAAAAGGACCTTAATCTATGTTAGTTTTTGAACTTTAACTGAACGTAAATCCATTGTATATTGTGTTTATTTGATATGACGGCATCAGAAGATTATTTAAATTATGACCGAGATAGACAAAAACTAATATTTTCTCTCGCTGGATAAAAAGAATTATTTTTAATAATAACTCGTTTATTGTTCTATTGCTTGCTGAATGTAAAATTGACATGTAATATTCGATAAACTATTCTCTGATAAAATATATTTTTATTGTTTGTCCTTGGTGACTGTTGGTGTGTGTATGTTATATATACTATGATTTTCTTTTGTTTTAGGAAGAAGTAATCAACTTTTTGAAAAATGAAATATGTGAAAAACTTGGCCCACTCAAAGATACTGTATGTAATATTCAGATAATCTTATTTTTTCAACTTCCTAAGGGCGTAAATTTGTTTTGTTAGTGTATTGCTGTGATCAGTGATGATGTTATGGGTGCCATTCGACTTTTGATCAATGATCTGGTACGTAATAACTAATTGTTTATCAGGTCATTTATGTATGAATATTGTTTTCATAGGATCCCAGTATTGTTTGTGAAGTGTTTGGTTTATGTCCTAAAAAACTGACGTTCTTAGATAATTGGGCTGTTCATGACGTATGTAGAAACAAGTGATTTTTGTCTACTTCGTGCTATCTTGACGTTTGATTTAGGATAAAAACAAATGTAAACGATGTATTGACGACTTTACACGACGTAAACATATTGCAGAACGATTAATTGTAAGTATTCTTGTGTGCAAGAAATTCTGACATTTGCTGCACTATTTAACTATTTGTTTTAAAAACTTCTATTTCTTTCCTCTATTCAAGACATCATATTTGTTTCATCTAATTACTTAAATACTTTTTTTGTTTAGACAAGAGCAGCACAGTTCATGCAACATTTTTGCGGTCAATTACCTCAAAAAGATGAAGTATGTTCTTCGTCAGTATGACAGCTTTAAATTCATTTTCTTTTCCGATATTTAGTGTGAAAAACAGGTTAATGCATCCATCAGTGAGTTAGTAAAATATATTCAATCGTTGGTATGTTGATAGTATATTCATTATTGATTATACAGCTTGTCATGATCTGTGCTTTATTTTTAGGATCCTCAGTCAATTTGTGTTGAAATAAAAATGTGCAATCAGACAATGGCTCTTTCATATAAATCTGATTATGCACTCACGGACAATGTTATTAATGTAAGTGATATTATTGTCATTAGTATAGAGATGAAAAATGCTTTATCCATAGGTCTAGATGGAGTCTGTTAATTGTACATTATGTAAACTAATATTTAATCATTGATATGGTTAAAAATTCATTGGAAAGTATTTCACGGAGGTAGTGACCCATAAGGCTGCTAGAAAAAGGCGTATCTTGATACTGATGTGTGTTAGTGATTTGATGACTGTTATGGCTATATCATCCCTATTACAACAGTCTGATGAGAACTGTGTCAATTGTTGTTTAATGAAATTTGAGGCGTTTGAAAGCCATTTCAGAAACGCTTGATATTCAATCACATTTCGTTTTTAACTTTTAAATACTATCACATTTTGCTCATTGTGCTAGCTAGTTATGATAATAAATAAAATAAAAATTGTACCAAATGACGTACTGATTATTAAAGAAAGAAATGAGATTAGACAAGTTTTGAATATTACCGTATACTTGCGATTTCTTTTTAGGCACAGCTCCTTCGTTATGCTAAAACTCATGTTTGTAAAAAATTAGAATCACTCGATACATTGGTACGTATGACACATAAAGACGAACTGGATTTTATATTATATTGATCATTTTTATTCAGTGTGAACAATTAGTTGATGTAGAAGGACCAAAATTACTTGTTTCACTTTCTAATAACGTAGATCCACATAGAGTTTGTCAAGTACTTGGAATATGTCCATCAGATAAAATAATTGCAGCAGTAGGTGTCAATTATTATTTAATAAGCTAATTATTCTATGAACTACATACATTTTTTATTTTAGTGCGCAGATAAGTGCCAATGTTGTATGGATAAAGTTGAACAATATGAAAGTCAAGCAACAGCATTTATTGTAGGCTATTAATTCAGACATATTTTTTTCTGAGTTTAATTCTCTCTCTACCTTTTTTTATTTCTAGCAATCAATGGTATCAAATGTGAAAACATTCTGTGGACATTTACCAGTATCAACAAAAGTAAGAAAATAGAGTAAATATTTCAAGTCTAACACCTTTGAGAATAGAGTACTTTACGTGTAATTGCCAGATATCTAATTATATGTTTTACTCATTGTATCAAATGAGATGTACACTTTTTCTTTGACGCTCTAGAATTTGTCTTGTTCATTTGTATAGTTAATATACTAATGTCATTTTTTATGTTCTAGTGCGCCGAAGTGGTCGACAGCGTTGCAGCTCAAATCAACTCCTATATTTCAACCATGGTATGTCTGTTTTTGTAGAATAGCTAAGAGAATAATTTAATGAGTGTATGTCTCGGGCATCCTAAAATTAGAAAAGGTAAAATATTGTTGATACACCACCAGGCAGAAATAATTGCGCTGATGATATTTCGAATGATTACCGTGTGCCTGTTTTCTTTTATGAGAAAAAGGAATATGAGTCATAAACACATGAAAAATTCTGAAGAGGAATTTCCATGTTTTACAGACAAAAAAGGGATTATTAAATGGTTAAAACAGCATTTATACCGACACAAACGAAACTTGATACATCAGAGAAAAATTTCCACTCAGTTATAGTCAACCTTTGCGAATTAATTGTAAAACAAAACAATAATATCTTAATCTTCTACACAAATAAAATTCAGAACAAATTCTATCTGTCAACCGAAACTAGCAAACACATGTTCTACAAAGAAGTCATGAAGACGAGTTTTGAAAACCACATTCTTTTATCTGTAGAATCTTTGTTTGTCTATACAGTTCTATGTCTGATCCTATTATGGAATAATTAAAATGTATACGTTTTTTCTGATAGTTAGTTATTGCCCTGCACGACTGAATCGATATAAATTCGTTACTATTTATATTTTCGTTCTAGGATTCAAAACGTATTTGTCAAACATTAAGATTTTGTCCAGTCGCTCAAGTGAGATTTCATCATATGAATTTTTATTGTCTGTATATAACTGATGGATGGTTTACTTTCGTTATAGGTGGAATATGAACTAAATCATGATCGTTGTCCAGATTGCCAAAATCAACTAGAATCTAAGCGTACATTTTTATTATCATCTGTCAACAAAGTATCTAACAATCTAAAAACATTATGTGAATATATTCCATGGGAAAAAGACTGTCAAACAATAATTGATCGTTCAATTTTAACTGTTAATGAAAAAATTGAAAAAATAAATGCAAACAAATGGTGTTTACAAAACCAATTTTGTCCAAAAACATCAACATCACAAAATTTAGAAATTGACTTAGAGAAATATTTACAAGCAGAAATTTGTTCAAAAGGTGATCAACCATTTTATCTATTATGTAGACAATTGATATCATTCAATAAAACGAAGAATCGAATGGAAGCATTGTTCACATCAATGTTTAATCAAAATGGTCAATTGGAAGGATCACAATTATGTGAATTAGATGAGCAGAGTAATGGAAAAGAATGTAAACCATGTGAGAAAGCTATGAAAGATTGTAATGATAAATGTGATTGCTGTGTGAAATTTTATGACAAAAAGAAAACATATGATCTCAAACAAATTGTAAGTTTATACGGCATGTGTTCTGAGTGATTATAACTCAATGTTAAGTCGCCGATTTTGTATAAAATGTGCTTATTTTTTCATAAGCAACTCTCCTCACTCGCCTCACACATAGAGTGAATATGGATAAATCGCTTTTATCAAATTAACTATCGACTTAATCACACAAATTTCATTTCTTTCTACACTATACTTGTAACCTATAAACTGAGATGATTTTGTTTTCTTTAGGAAACATTACGTTTTGGTTTATTGGCAACATGTGATTGGAGTTTGTCTAAAACACAATGTGTAAATTGGTTTAATCGTGTTTGTGATCGTATGAAAGCGAAAGTTGATCAATTTGATCCAACAAAATTTTGTAAACGAATTGGTTTGTGTCCATTACAAATTGTAAAGACATCACCATTAACTGTTATACAAACAGTAAATGACGAACAAAAAGTAAGTCTAAGAAAATATGAGTAAATTATGTAGCTCATTAGCTGTTCTTCTTTGTAGTGTGAATCTGGGGATAAATGTCAATGTTGCACTGATCGAATTCAACAACGTAAAGATTGTTTGAAATCATTGATCAATCGTATTTCATCATCATTAATCTCTTTGTGTGCCTATGTACCATGGGATAAAGATTGTAAAGATTTAATAACTAGTGCACAACAACGTTCATTAGATACAATTGAAAAATTGGACCCAAAAAAAGTATGTCAACGTCTTGGATTTTGTCCAGTTGAGCAATCATCACGATATCAATTACCTACATATGGACAGAAACAATATTCACAACTTGATTCGTTAAATGAACGATTAGGTATGGTCAATATTCTAGAAAAGCCTCAGAATGATTCATATCCTACTATTTGTCTACATATGAGATATTTTTTTCGTTTAAAATGATGTCTAAATGTATCTAAACGACGAAATAATAGAAACGCATTTTGTATATGGTTTAAACGGCTAAAAAACGCGTTTCTATTATTTTGTTGTTTAGACATATTTGGACACCGTTTCAAACGAAAAATATGGAAAAAATGGATAATTCTGTGAGAATGACTTCATGCTCGATTATGTCATTTCTATTCTTGTTTAGAAACATATATGGAAAATGAAGTATGTCAAAATTATGGAATATTAATGCCACTATGCAAACATATTTTTGCTAATGTTAATTCTCAAGATTATGAAAAAGTGTACTTAGCCATAATAACAAATAACATTGATTATATTCGTCAAGATATTGAAGAGAAACTAGCTAAACAAAAACAATTAAATAATGATACTTGTCAAGGATGCAAAAATGCTGTCCAAACCATAAAAGAATTCTGGATACAAGCGACGGTAAGTGATTGTGAGATTGAAGGGCTTTAATAAAAACTGAAATATTCAAATGAATATTTTAAGAATTAACACTCACTCAACTTTGACTTATTCATTAAAATAGTTTAAGTAGGAAAATGAAACATCAAAATCTGCTCTTGATTGTTTTTGTTGTTGACAATAGCGTAGAACATATAATTAAATAATGTGAATGAAACTGTTTTTGTTATTCAGTCAATACCGTTACGGAACCCATTTGTTTTCCTTTCAAAAATGCTGAATTTATCCCATTGGCGACCCATATTGAAAACTACAAACATAACATTTTTCGATTATAGTTACTAGTTTGATGAGAATGTTAAACTTCTAAAATCTAATAAATTTGCTGATGAAGATTCTTTTCTAATATGAAAACTTTTTGATAAACCAACTATTGCTTACATATTATCTTGAATTAGAATCTTTGCACAAGTACATGCATCGTATGTGACATTTGGTTTATTGAAGTACATAATTACTAAGCGTTTTCCTCTTGTAGGATACCGTTAGTTCTGCTTTAATACGTACCTGTGAATGGTGTCCAGTGAAAGATGAATGCCGAAATTTTTACACTAAAAACGTTGATAATATTAAAAATTATTTGAATAAAATTGATCCACAACAATGGTGTCAAACAATTCATCTATGTCAAACAACAAGTTTAATAGTTACGGATAATAAATGTGAACAATGTACAGTTCGTTTACAAAATCGAAAAGATTGTTTTCTTCGTGCAACTGATCGTTTAACATCGTATTTTGATACTTTATGTAAACAATTTTCTGGTCAACAATGTCAAAATTTTGTCAAAGAACTATCAGATCAAGGAAAAGAATGGGTAAGCTAGATAAAACGAAGTGAAATTGAAAAATTCCTTGTATATCAAAGATATTCAGAATTGTTAATTCTCTTTCATTAACAGGTGCAAAAGTTTGATCCCAAAGAGACATGTCAGTATATGGGATTTTGTGTTATGCAAAATGGTGATAATGAACTTCAACAAGATCGATCATTTGATGAATATGAAAAACAATTTCAATCACGAATGGAAGAAATTTGCTCAAAATTAGGACCATTTAATTCGATCTGTCAACAAATAGCTCGTGGAAATATGAACGAAATTCAAACAACAAAAATTAATTACAATATTAAAGATTTAATGGAACTCGGTGAAAAAAATATTTTTACGGCAACATTTATTGGTAAGCGAATTGAAATACTATAATAAACTGATCTTTTATCCAGTAAAATCGTTAAAAATCAAGGATTGATTTACGTGCAGAATTCCTTCTAGTGTCCGGAAACATTGAAACTTTTAACTATTAGACGTACTTAATTATGTTTCGTTGTTTTGTACTTGATAAAAAATGTTAATGTAACACAGATATTACGCATACGCAGTAGTTAAAGATTTTCGTGATTTATGTTACTATTTACATATTAATTCTGACTAGTTGAAATTTACCATAATAATTGTTATTCCTTTTTCTCTTGTTGTTTAGATGAATGTCCCAAAGAAAAGTGTGAATGTTGTATAAAACGTATTAAATGTAAAGTAGCTCATGCTAAAGAACTATTACATGAATTAACACAAACTCTATCATCTTTGTGTGATTACTGTCCAGTGAAACGTCGTTGTATATTCTTTTTCAAAAAACGTGAAGAACATATCGATAAATGTTTAGATTCTCTTAGACCAAGACGAATATGTACAAAAGCAGGATTTTGTCCAAATACAACTGAAGAGAATACGCCAGAATCTCTAATTATTGAAAACATTGTATCCGATGGTCATGGTCAATCTGCAGGTAAACATATATATTAAATAGAATATTTGTCAAAAGTATCAGTCATTTTAAGTCACTAGTTCTGAGTAATACAAGATTTTGTTTTTTTTATTTTTTATTTTGCTGCTATATGACATATATATTCATTCTGAATTAGACTAAGAATTTGAGATAACACTCTCTTCCATATCTTTTTTTGACAAAATTTTCAGTTTTGAATTGAACAAAGGCTAATGTAGAAGAAAGTCGAAGCTTCAAATGGAGACGATTCTCAGTATTTTCTCACCCTTTTCTGAAAAAGTCCTAGTACTTTCAAACTTTTTTTGTATTGTCTAATAGTGCAAAGTATTCCCTTGGCCATGAGCCATCTCCACGGAAGAAAAGACTGCGTTAGTGCTCGGAAAAGTACTGACACGTGCTTCATCAGATTAGAGCCAAGATTTTACCACAGATAACTGGAACGACATCTCAGATCTCAGTTTTTGGTTTTTCATTTCTGATTTTTTTCTTTCCGAGTTACAGATTTTTAAAATCGAAAATCTATATTTAATCTAGTGTTCTTATTATTTTTTATCTATCTTAAGATGGAGAAAATAGAATCAAAAAAATAATTGCACATATGAAGTATCGATCTACGTATCTATGGTCAAATTTTGAATTTGATCGAAATATACATGAATAAAAACTGGATTGTTAGAAAAATATGTCATAAAATTCTGAATAGAAATAAATCAATTTTCTCTTTCCATATTCTGTTTCTGGTAAGAATCAGATTAATCATACTGTTACTTCCATCTTTATCAATACGGTAAAAATTACATTCTTAACTACACAGTGTTTATTCTTTATTTGTTTTCGTCTAATATCCGTTTTTAATATAATTTCTTTATTATTAACGTTTTAGTTTCTACTAATGTGTATGATTCGAATCAAACATGCATTATGTGTGAATTTGTTATGAATTTATTGAAATCATATATTAAAAAAAATTCGACGGAACAGGAAATTGAACAATCTCTAGATAAAATATGTCAAGAAATGCCATCATCATTAAAACAAGAATGTTTAACATTAGTTGAAAATTATTCACCAACAATTTTGAGTATACTGGCCCAAGAATTTGATCCATCAAGTATATGTCAAAAATTGAGAGTATGCACAGCACAATTAAGTCAACGCTTAAATACCCAATATTTAACAAAAGCTTCACCGTCATCTTGCGGAATATGTGATTATTTTTCAACATATTTACATTTTGCTATACAACGTGATCCAAGTGAAACGTCAATTCGAAAAGCGTTAGAAACTGTTTGCACTCATTTAGGTAAATAAAAATAGTATTCAGTCTCTAAATTTCTTAGATTATATTTAAAAATTCTTCAATCAGATAAAAATCGTTGACCAATAATGTTTGCTAGATCTAGCGATTGTACTATTAGAAGAAACAATCTTTGACATCTATTTAAGAATAAAAAAACATTATTTTTATATACTACTGTAATTTTTATACATTCTCATTGAAGGTGTTGATAAACATGCTGAATGTGAAACATTGGTTGCATTGTATACACCTCAAATTGTATCAGGTTCAGTTAAATTAGAAATGGGAAACAATTTTTGTAATGATTTAAAAATATGTCAAAAACCAATGATCGAATTGACACCTGGCATCGAAACACCACCTCAATTGATTCATATTCCATTAACACGAGTAGAAACACCTGTAAATCATCATTTGTCATCGTATGATATCAAACAAATATTAGATAAAAATATTGATGCTGATCCTGAGTGTACAATATGTCATTATGTTGTATCGTATTTGGATGCTATATTGAAAAATAATAAATCCGAAGCAGCCATAGAAGCGGCATTAGCTCGTGTCTGCTCGATATTACCAGGTTTGTAACATATAGTCGTAACATGAAATCAAAGAGTCATTGTCATTTTTTCTATTTGTGTCATTTTTTTTTAATTCTGTTTGTAGTTAAAGAACGTGGCCAATGTGATCAATTTGTTAAAAATTATGGTCCAGTATTAGCTGAATTAATTGCAGAATTTGCTGATCCACAAACAGTATGTCGTTATCTGGGTATGTGTCAAGTTATTCTACCAGAATCAACGACCACGGCAACAAAGAAACCATCATCAACAACATCTGTTTATGATAATCATCAATATGTTGATATCAATGTTCCCACTTCATCTCATTTAAACAGTCCATTTACATGCACAATTTGTACATATGTTGTTAGTCGATTGAAATATATCATCATTGAAGATAAAACTGAGGAAAAAATTATGCAAGAACTTGATAAGACATGTGGTCTGTTTTCGGCACTTGATTTAAGACGAGAATGGTATGCATTTCTAACTGATTCAATAGAAGAATTTGTTTTTCTTTGTAACTTCCATCAAAATACTTTTTTTTCTACTATTTATCTATCTACAGAACTTTATCTCTTTCTAGTAAAACATTTGTTGATGAATATGGTCCGTATCTTGTTCAAGTAATTTCACAAGATGTTGATGCCAAAGTGGCTTGCCAAAATTTAAAAATATGCCCAAAATCTGAACTGCAATTACCATGGAAAATGCCAACAAAATTACCAGATGTTAAATTGCCATCATCATCAATATCAACAAAGAAACCTTATCCTAAATGTATATTTGGAATGAGTTATTGGTGTACAAGTAGAGAAAATGCACAATTATGCAATGTAAGTAGTGTTGAAAACTTTCAGCCAACAGACTATCACTTTGTTCAATGCATATTACAAACAGCTATAAATTGTTTGTCTCGTTTCTTTCTGTCTATATCGTCCGACTATAATTATGTATAATCAGCATATTATTTACTTACGTTTTTTTCTGTTATGTTTAGGCGGTTGAAATATGCGAAAGTCAAGTTTGGTCAAAACAAAAACAAAAAACAGGAATTTAAAAAAATGACTTCCTCCAAAGGATTTAAAAATAACGTGTAACAATAAGAAACAATTATTCTCATTATTCTCATCGCTATTTTTCGTATTTTTTTTAAATCACTTTTTGTACATTATGACAAATCATTCGATGAGAGACAGAGATTTATATTATTAACTTTTATTTTTTATTTTTCGATATTATTCCAGCTACAGAAAGCCAAAAACAAAATGTTATTCTATAAATATATATTTAGAATAAGCGACGATGGTTTTTGTAGTTAGTACATATGTGACCTGTCATGTTTAACATGAAAATTTATTATTATTATTATTATGGCATTTGACATAGAGTCTGTTTCGTTTTTTTTCTTTTGTTTGTCGTTCGTCGTCAATTTCACTTTAATTTTATTTTGTGTATCTGTTTTGTTTGTAAAAGGTTGACATATCGGTTGTACTTTTTTGTGAGTTTATTGGTATTCTCATCATTTTACTCCTTTTTTTTCTGTCCGGTTTCACTTGTAATATATTTATGTGTTTATTATTAACAGAAAAAAGATATATATAAAACGCGATTTTGAAATTGATTGAAAATTGACGCACAACATATGCAACAAAACATACCCTGGTCAAGAATTTTTTTATATTTTGCTAATTTTTCGAACTTTTTATACTAACGTTCCAATACTTTGTTTAAGTTCAAGTTGTTCTCAGTCGGCCTTTTGTTAGTGCAGCTCAATCATAAATGTAACATAAAAAACTTTTCGAAAAACGAGTAATACTTATATACGATGGGTATTGACAAAACAAAACGGTGATTGGGCGGGCAGTGCACGAAAGTTTTATTTTTGTTCAGAATCCTGTGGTAATTTATAAAAATTCTCTGAAATTCTGAAAAATGAGAAATTTCTCATTTTTCTTAGAAAATGGGGTTGTACAAGATCTCTCACTTTCTTGGGACTACTGAAGAAATCCTTAGTGGAGTCTCAAATAGGATAACATATTTGTTTTTGTAAAAATAAAGTGGCTGAGCTGTTCGTTTGATTTTTGTTTTCTCCGTTTGCCTGCGACATCTTGTCGCTTTCGTTATCATCTCGTAACACATATTTTCAAATAGCTTATTTATTAGCCAGTTATTTGGTAGTGACTGCACCGATGCTTTTTTCGAGCCCATTTCCCATGTCCATGCTCTCGCTGGCTTGCATCCTCATGTTCATACCCATGCTCAATTAATCAAAACGAAGATACCACTTCCTATATCAATCTCAAAATTTTTTGCTCACATCTAACGATATCAATATGTTTATAGGCATTTTTTCTTTATTCATCAATGATGACTCATCATGCCCAGCGAAGTCCTACAGTTTTTTCTTTTATTACGAAAAATCGAATCGCTGCACTCATAACCACAAAGAAGACTAGACGATGTATTGATCTACGGCAAATAAAGCTGTGAACTTTCAGTAACGCGCTTTAGTTACGTGGACAAATAAGAACAAAGAACCACCCGTATCCATATCATCGTCAAAAGTGTTTGACTTCACGGGTATAGATAATGGACATGACCTCAAATGTCTGATGCGTGTATACCCAGTTACTTATTATGATTATGTGAGTATTCATTAATTCATCGAATAGGCTACGATTGGTACGAAAGCTAAGCTATACGTCTAGTACTTTTTGACTATTTTCCCTTTCCATCAGATTTACTATTTTTTATAATATTCCGAGAAATACTTTTCATTTTCACATTTTCATTAACTAAGCTATCTTTGTTTGAGATTAGAAAAAAAAATTTCACTATGAGTTTTTTACGCTGCAGTTTTAATTATATTGTTCTTTTTCGCTTTCCAGCTATGTTTATATTTCGTCATATTTTTCAACGCTCAGAACGTCTTCCTATATTATGTTTAAATTGTCATCATTTTTTATTCACAAGTTCTGTGAAAAGTTTTTCCATTACAACAGAATCATCATCCGATTTTACTTCAGCATTTGATAAAAAATGTCATACGATTGAATTAGAATTAGAAACATTAAGAGAATCGGGTGAAAATGTACCAGACAAGATTCCCGATGAAAAATGGCAGGATATATTTCGTTTACAAAACTTACAGAAAAGAATACGAATGTACAAGTAAGAAAAATAAAAGATTAGATTTATTTATTGTCTAATGTAAGTGTTGTGTAGATCGAACAAGTAGAAGAGATGACACTTCACTAATGATCTTTTCCACTTTTTGTAAATACATCTATTGCATGAAGAAAAGTTTTATAATCGATTATAATAAGAAAGAAAATTAATCTTTTTGTAGAAATACTTGATAAAACTACACTTGAATAGAGAAAAATCGTATGTTTACTTAATTAATATGTTTCTTTCAGTTATTTATTTAATCGTGAACAATCTAAAAAACATCAATCAGAAATATTAGTTCAAAATGATCAACGTCGTAAAAATTTACTTATTAAGCGTCAAAAATTATTACATGAAAATAAACCGTTAACAAACTATCCGGGTTATTCAACAATTTATCGTCATTTATCAGCAAGACAACATGAAAAACAAATTTATGAAACAAATCGTTTATTACCCGCAGCTCGTTTGAAAGACTATTTAATTATTGATTGTGAATTTGAAGATGAATATGAACGACTTGGATCATATCTAATTAATTTAATTAATCAATTACAACATGTATATAGTGGAATAGAAGAATTTCATACACCATCATTTTTATATTTCTGTAATCTAAATACAAATGGACGATTATATCAGCAATTTCAAAAATATTCACAATTTGAAAATTATTGTTTTGAAATAACATCAAAATCTTATATAGATCTATTTCCCAGAGAAAAATTATGCTATATAACATCATCGTCTACAAATATAATGAAAGAATATGAACACGATACTATTTACATTATTGGAGCAATTGTAAGTAAGTTAATGTTGTTTATTTGTAACTAGTGTTACCATTGATTGAATACAAAAATAAAGCATAGAGTACACAGTAAAGTTTAAATATATCAATGATTCATATACAGACGCTATTTTATGAAGAAATTTATATAATTTTTGAAGATAAATTGAAAAATATTATTCGAATATAGATTTTTATCTTGATCAATGGAAACGCAGTCAATCATGATATTTAATGTTTGTTTATTTAGCACCCGAAAAACGCCCACTTACGTTAGCCAAAGCAAAACGTAATCAGATTCGTCATCAATGTTTACCATTGGATTATTATGTCAAGTAAGAATTATTAATAGATTTTATTAACAGATTTTCAAAAAAGTTTTCTAACCGAAAATATGATGTAAGATGTGCAATATAATTTGAAAGTGAGTTTGAAATCATCATTCATCATGAAAAGAAATTGATCATTCTGGAAAATGTGTATTTAGTAGTTTAACCCTGATCCGTCCATCTGAGATCCGTGCGGACCCCAGACGAAAAAGCGTGCTTTGAAGATATGTCTTGCTGCTCTGCCAGATAAATAATGAGCCGATGCAATCCGTTCATATTGATAGTACACCCTATTGTCATTCAGTAGAATATAAAGTGAAGCGGTAAAATCTAACCGTTGTGTTCAGACGGTATCCAAATGAAACCGGTAGAATTTGGGCATATTGTAGGTATTCGGATCAGGATTAAGTAAGAGCAAGTTATTTGCTGGATTAGACGAGAATAAAAAAACTTTAATATTCGTGTATTGCTCTTTTAGGTTCAACAGTGGTTCCAATTATAAAAATTTAACATTAAATCAAGTTTATAATATTTTAATGACCGCAAAACATACTCAAAATAATTGGTACGAAGCATTTAAACATATATCGGATTATAAATTAGCTAAAAGATATGTCAATAAAACAAGATATCAATAGGTTTAGTTTTATATTTAATTAGTAAATTAAACGTTATTATATTTTATGTTCATTTTTTTGTTTTGAAAATGTTATTAGAGTTATTCTATTTGAAATCATTTTTTTAAGCATAACAGTCATTCATTACATTTTCAGGATTTTCGCATGTCGTATAAAACATAATAAAAAAACAATTACGTTGTTATTTTAAGTTAATTTGTTATGTAGACTTGTTATATATTTTTTAATTTCAATCAGTGAAAGAAAGCTACATAATTGTAACATCTATATTTGTGAAGAGAATAAAAAAACCGAAGAAAAAAAGAAGAAAATGAAAACAAAAGAAAAAGTAAATAAAGCGTGTAAGAATTCAGATGGTAGTAAACAAATGTACATGAGCAAAACAGAGAGGCTAAGGAATTCAGCACGGCTTTCAGTTTTCAATTATTTCGACAGAGAATATTTAAACTATTTAACATAACCAGAGATGAATGTTCAAATTAAACTGTTCCATTCAACACATGACCTAGATCGAAAAGAAAAAAAAGTTACTTTTGTATTGGAAAAAAAACTTCGCACCGCCACTGGTTATCATTTTTGTCGAACATTCTTGTTTTTAGAGGTTTTAAAAGATTAAAAAGGGATAAAGTGCTATGTTCCAGGTTGAGCGATTTTTTATTTTTGGAGTTCTTGCCTTTCGGAAACAGTGACAAAAGTCCCGGTCCCGCGGGATCGGGACTGGGATCGTCCCGCAGACCTCTATTAGAGACAGCATTAGTAACAGCTTGGGCTTCATAAGCATGTCCTATAAGAATCTCATAGATAAATGCATCCTCCGTGGATACATCTATCTGTGAGAAATATATGGCTGATTATTGAATACAGATAACCTAATGTTAGCAGATACAAGGAAGGTCTAGTATTTGCAGATAAATCGATAATTAAAGAACTACTACGCATACAACAAGAAAAGAATTTGTTTGTCATCAATACAACAAAATATTTCACAAGTACAATTCTTAATGTCATCAAATAAAAATAACATTAATTACTGGGATAACAAACTTCCATAAATTAAACATAAGAACTCTTGGTATATATCTAGCCTTTGATTTTAGAGAAACGTGTTAGAGAAAACAGTTATTGTATGATAACGTCTGTGAAATAATGATTATCTCTTGAATCTGACAGCCGATTTATATTTTGTTTTATCTGTATTCGATTATTGCGACCGAAAACTTAATTCAGACACGTAATGAAGACAGCTTAGGTGCATTTTCTCATCTTTTTACTGTTAGTCGGCTTGATGTCTTGACAAAATTTCTCTAAATTACTACTTGTTTTTGATAAAAATAGCTTAGGTGTTTTCGATAGACATCACCACCGAGACACTTAGTCACCCATTGGTCATGGATAAATCACGTAGTGGCATTCAAGGTACCGAAAATGCATCGAGACTCTTATTAGACACAAAATCATTCTGGTACCTAGTCAAGACATCTCCGGTAAGAGCAATGGAGAGATAACATTTTCAGAAAAGTGTCCTATCTACATTGTTTCTTTGTCCTTTATACTGATTATTATACTCTTGAACAGACTATTTTTAATCTGTTGGTTGTTTACTTAACGATGTTAGACTCAAGTCTAATTTGATTTATTCATATGTTATATTTTAACGGTATCATTTGTGCTTGTCCACATAAATGATACTGGTGCTGGTAAAAGTTCTGTGATGCGACTGCAGCCGATCTGTTAATATTTATAATATCTTTTCCTGGCAGGCATATTGATGCCGGCAATAGCTGCTAGCAGAAGTATTCACGTGAGAGATAATCTAAAATAGAATTGACTGTGTCAATGTTTTCATTAGACGTGTGGTGAAACGTCTATCTTATCTATGAATTGATTTTTGAAAGTAAATATTTTTGCTATTTTAGCAAAGAGTTGAAAATAAAGTATAGTAATATGTATATATATCTACAGATATATATAGATTTTATTTTCAACTCTTTTTATATTTACTTGGATGTCTATCTGGAAGTGAAAAATCCCATAACTAACAAAGAATTAAGTTTTTATCTTCTTAACCTGTCTAGATATAAAAAGAGAAAGTAACATTCTTTCTACCTTATTTCTTCATTCTAGATAAACTTATTCAGCTCTTTTCTGCATGTTTTTGATCGTAGTCCGTTTTTATAAAGCATCTCAGCGTATTTAATGCATCCCGGATGCTGTATGGAAATTGAGATGCCTTACTTTATGCATCTAAAATGCCCCTGTTTTACATGGAAGAATACATCCAAGTAAACATCCATGATATCTCACGAAGACACTATGGATGCATAAAACTGGAATTCAGTCGCCTTTGTAATGCATCGTGACGCATCTTTTACATGGAAATATCTTTTTATTGATCAAAAATAGGGTTAACCCCAAGGCAGCTAAAGTGCATTTATTTCTAAAAAATGCGTCTCTTTTTTCACACTATACAAAGACATACATTCGTCAGAAAAGAGAAAATTTTTTTAAGGGTAATGTAGAATAGTGCAGAATGAGACGTGTCAGAGCTCTCTGAGATTCTTGATGGAGAAGATATTGAACACTACTGTTAAAAAATTTTCTCTTTTTTAACGAATGTATGCCTCTTTATTAATATATCACCCATAATCAAGAATTCTAGAGAGGTTTGGCATGTGCCATTTAGTTACGCACTCTTTTCTTTACAAAATGAATCACGAGTTCCGAGCATCCTACTGTTCGACAGATATAAAACACGAAAACAGGAAGAATAGTGTCTGAATCAAGTTTCCGGCCGAGCTAAGTAGAATAATCTAATTATTTGAAAAATATATTTAATGTTCAAATGTTCCTCTCATTTTTTCTATATGCTTGCCTGGAATTCATACCGGTAATTTGATCAGATAAAATGATTCATTTCAACTTTAGAATTTCCATAAACTATATACAAAATGGAATTAAAATAAAATAATGATGCCATGAAACGAGCGAGAATTGTATTCGATGAATGAAAAAATTATACAAAAAAAATCCCAAAATGAACACATGGCAAATATGAAATAATATCATTGTCTTGTTACGGAATAGGACGATGGTGGATTTAAAAGTGATCCACCATGGTTGGTAAAACATTTATGAGCGACCTGTTTTGTACAACATCTATGAAGAAAACGTTTAAATAATAAAATTAATTCATGTCGAAAACGATTGCCACATAGAGAATAGAGAAAAAAATTCATACAAAATGACATGAAATAAAAATGACGAAATATATCCAATGCTGTAGATAGTACATGTTTTGATAAAAATGAATAGAGTAATATTGCACAATAAGGCGAATTAAAAACAAGAAATGTTGTCGAACATATAACCAACATTTTTGTTGTTCTTAATGATACAGTTTGTCTCGATGTTGATGAAATGGGAAGATCATTTGATGGTGCCATAGAGAGACGATGATGAATTGGTGTTGGATCGTTGCTATTGTTATCTTTCGCCGTACTATTACTACTATTAGCAGATGTTAAATAAGGTCCAGCAATACTATGACGTTGTTCTATAGGAGACGGTGAATTAATGACGTAGTTTAACGATAATTTTGGTAAACGATTTTGACCTAATGTACGTTTTTCATGATATAATTCAGTCATTGAAGGAGATGTAGTAGGAACGGATGAATAGTGTTGACGAGATTTTGAAGATATGGATTTTTCTATAAAAAAAAAGAAGTAGATAAATTAACTAGAAACACCAGGCCTAGAAATCTATGTTCTTTTTTACTGATCCTTATAAAAAATCATAACAATTATATGCTTATTGCACATGATCTTCGAAAGTGTTAAAAAAATCAAAAAAAAAGATTATACATCATGTGTGTTAGCGTTTGACATACTCATGAAAATTTTACATCGAATACTGATTATTAAAAGTAGTGTAGAGAATGTAATTCTATAATTTTTAATAAATAGTATAAGCTATTAACTAATAAATGTTTACCACACTTTTTAGTTAATCAAAATCATGTAGAAACTTCAAGTTAATAATTTATATTCTTAAAATTTGACTACTAATTATTAAATTATTCTTTATTTCTCTGCTGATTAAACAACATTGTAAAAGTTGAAGAACGGCTACGTCTCAAAAGAGATACAAATCCATATTTTAGAATATATCTGTTTTAATCAATTAAAAAGTATCTCTTTTGAGAAACGAATATTTTGGCAAGAAATTGCATTTCTCAAAAGAGATATATTATCTCTCGTTTCTATATTCCAAATAAAAATTAAATTAAATAAGAGGTAGAAGTAATCAAGATAAGTGGGAATTAGTACTTACTTATATTTAAAAAATAATTATTTTTCAAAAAGAAGTTAATTTGTTAACTATATGTAATTTTAATCTTTGCTTTCTTCATCCTCATCCGTACTAATATCCGAAGCACGAGTTTTCTTAAACACTTTCAAATAATTGTTTTTACTTATACGTTGACATCGAAAAAGATTTTTTTAACAACAATATGGTAGAAGTGCCTTTTTGACTTCGCTTTCGTACAAAATCCATGATAGTTTTTTGAAAAGTGAGACAACATTGCTTTTAGCAGTATTATTTATAAACATTTCGAAAACTACAGTTGATGTTTACGATTTACAAATAGTTGACAAATTAATTTCTTTTTGAAAAATAATTATTTTTTAAATATAAGTAAGTACTAATTCCCACTTATCTTGATTACTTCTACCTCTTATTTAATTTAATTTTTAT